ATTTTTTACGATTTTTTTGGAATTGTAATTGCGTTTCTCCACCAGATGTTTTGTGGACGTGAAGTTTATAATCGTTTTGATTTATTACGTGTTTAGTCTGTCGAGATTATTAAAGTTCATTTTGACCAACGGGACTTCTAGCTGAAGGATAAGAATCATGATTCGCTTTTTTTCTTTTATTATAATTTTCTTGGTCTACAAGTCACAGTTGATTTTAGTGTGTAGTGCTATTTTTAATTTTAGCTTAATTACCATGTTTGGAGACACATATTGCTTCTTAATTTCGAAATTCACTCTTCAGGTGTTGAAGATGTCCTATAATATTAACATCCTTACAAGTAGCTTCCTCATCTTGTACATTCTATCTTTCAATTCGTCTGTTAATAAATTCCTTCCTAACATCTCCTTATACATCCCAAGTGTATGTCCAACTAGATCCAAATATTTACAGAACAAATCAGCGCGTTGCACCGTGTGGGTCATGTGGGTGTGACGTATTGTTGATACCTGCCGCTATTTCGGTGCGATTCACGGTTGCAGTCACGCGCTATAAATATCTTCAGATTTACGATATCAGTTTTAAATGAGATATATTTCTTCATTCCTAGGATTGATGATTTTTAATCGTATGTTTTGAGATATTGCCAATGAATTTTTCTTCATTCCAATTTTCCTTACCCTCCTTTTCATTTTTAGGTTAGTTGGAATGAGAAATTATTAAATTGGCTTGAACGAATTTGAGCATTTCCTATTTGGTTATGATTCCGTCAGCAGAAGGTACATTAAGCCGTCATCTAGCGATTGCCTAATGTGTGCCTTGGGCGTTACAAGATTTTTACCAGTTCATGGAAAGGGTCATGCATGCTTTATAATCTAAATGAGTATCAAGTTAGAGCATTGATGATCGTTTTCTTAAGCTTCTAAAAAGAAAATCAAACCTAAAAGGAAACCCCTTGAGATGAAGGACTCGTAGGAAAATTGTTGGCAGTCTTTGAGAATTTATCGTAAGGAGCTTAATCTAAGACAGAATTAAGCTCGTAATAAAAAGCTTCGTAGATTACTATGCCATAATATTTATTAGCCATCAAATAAAGTCACATGACTGCCGTAGGTTGATGACCGCTAAGATGGAGATTATAAAGAATAGACTACTGTTTCGTTTTGTCCAACCAGTCGGCCTATTTTCGTGATCGGGAACGATCATGTCTCGACACCAGACTCCGGATATCGGTTCTAGTCCCGAAATATCCCAGTCTTACTCCCAATAGAGAGGGTATAAATACAATACTGTATTTTTGGTGTTGATCAACCAGGAGTAAGGAATAGTAGGAGTAGGATGTACGGATGACAGCATATCCAAATTATCATTAGCCTTAATCAAGCTTGTCTATTTGAAAACTTACGAAATATTACGTGTTTCGATTCAAGACCAAAATCCTCGCACAAACATTTCAAATAAATAATCTCGTCCACAAAATGTAGTCAATCGTCAACTTCTACCCATCTAAGGCTGGATTGCACCATCTTACTTTAACTTTGACAAACGTCAAAATTCCATACAAAAAACGCCGATTATCGTTATAGTTACGGTCAAAGTTAGGTGGTGCAACTCAGCCTAAGTGTCTTTGAGTTCCGTTGGATAGGGTATCATCCTAAGCTACGTTTACCATAAAGTTATTATTCTCTGGAGTAGGTACCTAGGTATTTATTCCACCTTCCATTAGTTTTCCTTTCTCATCATAATAGTCATTATCGTCATCAGTATCTTAAGCTCTCTATCCTCAGCTTTAAATGTTATCAGTCTGTTTTTAGGCACCCTTTTAAAAAATTCTAATAGCTTTTCTTATAACTGCCAATAATTCTATTACTGAGATTGCGTGGGTGTAACGTCTGCGATTCTGTCTGTGGGCGGGTTATCCAATCAATTAAAATCAAACAAAGGCATGTGAGATACATAACAATATGAGCATTTCGTTATGCGTCTCAAATGAACGTCTGTTTTGTACTACCTATACACTTGCAGCTGATTGCATACCGATAGATTGGGTCAATACAACTAGAAATTGTAATATCATATGGTTTAAGATTTCAAAACATGTTCAATCTTGATAGATAAAAGCATGCTAGTTTTCTGATTGTAAGCTATAATCAGATAGTTTGAGAAGAGTCGTCGTACCTAAACAATATTAAAGTAGTTGCCGAAATGCATCCTTCGTGAAGTTTCCATTATGTATAAGCTGATGATACGTAAACTAGATGTGATATTTTGGGCTTGGTCGATATGTATCATCCTCATCATTACCGTATTTAGTCTTTACTGCAGGACCACGACCATCTGTAGGTAATTTACTAGAGGTAAATACAACATTTGGCTTACACTCTTCACATTATCCAGACAAATTGTAGCGGCTTGATGTTTGCATTAAATTTGTCTCTTCCCTTTTTCTTCTTCCCGTGATCGCCTTTGACTACATCCATGCGAAGTCCGGAGTTTATCCTTCTACTCTGATGTTGTAGATTCGTATACGAACATTGAGTTATAATGTTATACAAATTAGAATATGCGTTAAAAATACGCCCCCCGAGCATACCTCAACAATAATCTGGCTGACAATTGGATCGAAATAAGGTCACATACCAACAATCTAGAACAGATCACGCACTATTTTCCGAGCAATGATATTTATTTCCTCTCGCTCCCACTCATTAGTCACCAATTAGAAAGAATATGTGACAAGGAAGCCACGAGTACAGCCCACTAGAAAATTCCTGTGTGAAAATGATTGTTTTTTATAAACACGAATTTGCATTTTTAAGATGCTAACGACACCGTTCATCTAAATCTTTTACTATTTACTTTTACTTTCGTATCAGTTAAATGACGTCTACAGCTGGACAAAAGGCCACCCCCAAGGACTTCCACAACGACCGGTCCTGCGCTCCCCGCATCCAGGTACTTCTTTTTCTTCTATTTCACCAACATCAACTTATCTTTCATCATCATCATCATCATCTCAGCTATCCGTCCATAGCGTATAGCGTCCACTGCCGAACATAGGCCTCCCCCAATGCTTTCCATGCTGCCCGGTTGGTAGCGGCCTGCGTCCAGCGCCTTTCTGCTACCTTTATAATATCGTCGGTCCACCTTGTGAGTGGACGTCTCACGCTGCGTTTTCCGGTACGCAGCCTCCACACCAGAACCCCACCGGCTGCAGTTACTGCGTACTATGTGCCCTGCCCATTGCCACTTCAGCTTGCTGGCTATGTCAGCGACTTTAGTTCGTTTACGGATCTCCTCTTTCCTGATTCGATCTCAACTTATCTTTGGGGAGCCTTTATGACGTTAGCTACTTCCTTTCTGTCTGCCTCTACCTTCACTGGATTGTCTATGATTTGCAAAGGTGTTCAATGTTTATTCACATAAAAATTATAGGTTTTACAAATTATTATTTCTCGCTATTCCTGTTTTATATAGCAACTCTAAAGATCACAGGAAACCAATAAGTCGGCAACCGTAGAACAAACATTAACACTCTAGAATATTTCCAAAACCACGGATATGGATAATTTCAAACATCCGGTCAGATACACAATGACTTCAACAATGAAATTGGAATATTATTAGCAGAGATAAACAACATTGATTACACAATTATTATAAGAAACCACACAACTATACTTGAACCCGCCGTGTGGTGACGGCAGAGTAGAATACATTTGTCACCAACCCCTACTCTTCCCGCGGGTGTCGTAAGAGGCGACTTAGGGACTACACAACAAACAGAGAATGGGCAGCAGCGCTCTCTGAAAAACATCAATCTTTTAAACTGCGATCTCCAACCCGCCTGCCAAGCGTGGAGATTATGGCAAATCCCTCCACCATAGTGGAGGAGGCTCATAGTCCAGCAGTGGACTGTAAAGGGCTGTTGATGATGATGATACTTGAACATCTGTGTGCATGAACATTACCAGCTTATTATGATCGGTGTACCTATGTATAAGGATAACAAAGCATTTATTTTACACAACCTGTTCATTAAAGACTTACTCTATGTGTCATCTACATATTTAGTGCAAAAATAATTAGGTACTTCCGGTAGGTACTTCATCATCTTTTTGTATTCATGTGTAAGCATGGAAGTAACCACCTGAAAGTTTGTATTTTCACCAAATATTTTAATAACCAATTATTATTACATACTAATTGCGCCGAATATGTAATTACATCACATCAAATTCACAATTCACGTGCGTATGAGTAATGAAAGCTCTGTTTACACCTGTCTGACAAATTCATCATTTTTGTTCTCGTTAGCCAAAGCACCAACCATGTTAAGTGAACTCCTTAAAACCACGATACATCAACGTCCGAGTCAAATGTTTACTATCACTAAACGCCAACACCTGATGTGGTCACCTGACTCCAAAATCCAGTTGCCAAGAGGCGTTACGACTGAAAAATATACGGCTCATTTTGATTTATGAATAATAAAACTGAATATACTCGTCAAAATTAGTCCACGTAATAATAGAACGGCTTTTTCATCCTTGACGCTTTTTGTCTCCGCAAAATAGTACTTCGAACCGAATGAGTAATTCTTGTGGATGAGAAAACAAAACGACACCTTAGTTTTGTTGAAAATTAACTGACAAGGCTAAAGACTTTACGCAGACAATAAAGTTGCTCAATTCAAATAAACATGGCTAATTGGAGCGCTTAATTACGATACAGTTAACACACCTTCTGTATGTTAAGGTGTAAATATCGTGGAAAGTATCCAACATCTAGACGGTTCGTTACTGACGTGGTTACATTACATTTATCTTCACTTTTGAGTGAGGTTTATCTCGGCACTTGCAACAATCCACTCACTGTTAGATCAGCTCCTATCTTCGGCGGAAAACACCTATGCAAGCGACGTCACCCCATGACGAGTAGTTATCCAACCGCCTGCAGCGTCCCACGCAAATTCCGTCCCGCCCGCCTCGGCCGTCGGCCAAAATTTTCATAGTTTAGTTACGATTTCGAAAACGACCCGACGCGTCCCGCCGCCGGCGACAATCCGCCCGATTTCTCTAACGAATCCAGTTTCGCATAACCTTCGTCAAGTTCTCGATTTTCAGCGAGCAGTTCTTGTGATTGTGATTGACTCAGTGCACCGTGTTACCATTGGATTTTATTTGTGTTTTCATTTAATTGGGTACGTTAATTTTTATTTCTATTTCACGCTGGAAGATTATTGGAATTTACATTTAATAACCAAGGACCTAGTATTGACCCTTGAGGCACGCCAATAATATTTTATTGACTATAAAATTCTATATGAAGATTTTTTATTGAGCTTTCGATATGAAAGTTGGATAAGAAAGTTAGGTAATCATAGGAAGTAACAGACGGTGCAAGTTATAAAAGCTTTGCCGCGCAGAAACGCGAGAGCAAGGGGCCTTCAGAGTCTACAGAAATAGCACAAGACGTTTCGTTCACACTTGAGAAAATTTGAACACAGGACACCCACTCCCTTAAACTTCACCTTGCCAGTGTAGATGGCGCTGACCGCTGCGTGAGTCACATTGGAGTTGCGATCGGCCAAAGAGGTTTCGGCCAGATGATGTGCAATGATGTATTGTATGACTTATAGGACAGCGTATATCATTATTTCAGTTCTGTTTATGATTTAGAGTCGTCTTGCCTTGGATGCGTTGTATTTATATCAGGTTATGAAATGTTGAAGTGGTTTATTTCAATCGTAAATTGAAGACGTGCGCTTGGAACAAGTATATCGGTATTTAAATCATCACTTTATTAGTTTCAGCAAGATTTATGCATGAACTTGAGTTCTCTGTTAAAAACAACACGTAAAATAAAATTCTGGATTCATCTAGAATTATAGTGTTGGATTAAGGATAAAAGTTTCAATGTTGCAGTTATTTATTTTATGAACTGGCTGACCCAGCAGACGTCCTGTCATTCAAAATTTCCATAGAACTTTACTTCAATTTTCCCAAATGAAAAATCTGTGTAATCGGATTATCAGTTTTTTTTTATTAGAAAAAAAATGTGCAAATAAAAAAATCCCAAAACAGACCAGCTAAATCTCAAGTGGTGTACTCACATATACATACAGTACTCGTATACTAATGTAAGAGCACTTTATCCTAATTAATAGATGATTGTCACCTTCCGAAAATTCATATTCTTTGGAAGACTTTTCCATTCTATTCCAACATTCTAGTCAATTCCATGAAAGATATTCTTCACTACCTATCACTTCTATATCTATGATTAGGTTAATTAGGTTAATAAGAGTGCTTCCTTTATTTTCAAGTGGGTTAATAAACCTGGTATGTCAGATTATATAGGCCATCATAGGCATGTGATATTTCCTTGGGATATTTCTCAATCACTGGCGGATTAAGGTATTTGTAGTACTGAATCATTTCTTTTAATTTTTTAACAGATTGTTTAAAATGTACACTTATGAAGCAATAATGATTATGATTATGATAAAAACAACAAACTTATCATTTTCGATGAGTAGAGCTGATTATGACCAATCCACTCTTTCCGTGGATGTCGTAAAATCCAAATATGGAAAATGCGAACGTCAGACCTCCCTAACCCATAACCAACGTGGGGAGTAAAAGAACAACTCTGGAAATGCTCCTTCAATGGAGACCAAAATGACCTGATGACAATAATTTTCCAGTATTGCGATAAATGTCCCACCTGAGAATCTTACCCAGAATGTTCAGATCAAAAGTATAATTCTTAGGCTTAGACAGGTAGCCGAAAATATTTGACAACCTTTTACAAGAAACGAACATGGGACTATGCGATGAACTATTGCACTATTTAACACATTTATGCAATTAAATGTGATTTTAATTTGAAATCTCAAAAAATAAATACACTCCCAATTAATAGCTAATCGATATTGTTTAAGCTAGTATGAAATAGTAATGTTATTTGTATGGTTAGAGACTTGGAGCGAACATACTTCTGAATATAGGTCTGACCATGTTACATCAAGTCACCAAATTGATCCGAAAATACTGCGAAATATTGTATAACGCCAATCGGTATTCGCAACATTCTAAAATAAGCTTTCTCACGATAATAATAAAATCGATGCGCCAGATGCATTAACCCATTTGGCAGCGCATTCACCCTTTCGATTTCTCAAACTATTTGTTTTGTATTTTCGTTTGCATTGTTTGTTTATTTTATTATATTTGTAACGCCAGAGTTTTATATTTAAGGGAACATATACGAGTACATAATACTAGTCCATAGGATGACGAATACGGTGTGATGGAAGTTTCTGGAGAGGTAAAATTTTTTAAACACATGAAATTATAAAAAGCTTCTTTGTATTTGATTCAAAATTAATTTTCTTTACCTATTCGACAAATCGTTACAGTACAACGTTTGTTGCATGTTGTTTATAAATAATTTGCATGGATTTTTAATTTACTGTATGATTTTTATTCGTAAAATCTACCAAATATTTCATATCAATGGTTTAACTTTCCCCCGGGACAAACTTGACCTTCATTGGTTGGGTTTTTATTGGCGGTCAAGCTGTAGATCCTGGCTTCACAGGAGTTGCAGTGTGGTGGGAATAGACCCGTATCCAAATATCTGTGATTTTTCTAGGGATGTTTCTTGTCGTGCTTCTATCTCTTTATGGCCTTACTATAATCGTTAGTTTCCTCCAATTACGTCCACTGTACAAAGGCCTCCCCCCAAGAATTTCCATAACGATCAGTCCTACGTTATTCATAATTAAATATTACTTATTATGCTTGAGATTGTTCTACAGAGTTGTTGTAGCGTAGTTTACTTATGCAAACAGAAATTCCTCCTAAACTACTAACTTTGTGTTCTAACAAGTATTATGTATTTATTTGTCCTGTCTTCGCATTGCATTGGCATGGACAGTCTCAAGTTGAATTTGAACCCACGAGCTTTCACTTATCAGGTGACTGCTGCTTTTAAAGAGCTTTGCCCTTTGAGTCGTATTATTCTTAACAACATTTATTTGTCCGTCTGCTCGTTTGCCTCATATCACATAAAAAAAAAAACATTTCTGTCGGTTGTTTGATGAATTTTAACGCTTTCTGATACGGATGAATCGGACAAACACTGTTTAACGTGCTCTCCGAAACATGGAATTTTCGGTAGGAATGTTTGATAACAGAATAACTTATTAATATGACTGTCTATTGTCTAAATCAAGTTTGTCACCATTGAACCAGGGAGGTGTAAGCACTGTACATAAAACGATAGCAACATCGTCATTTGAAATATACCTGCGTAATTAAATTACCCATCCACGAGTATGTACACCGTAGAATATAAGTAGTCCCTCATAATACATCTTCGGCTCACTAATTGTTTAAATTGTTTTTTACCTGTGGAAACCTATAAGTGGTTTGCTTGTTGCCTATCTTATGTCATTATTACACACTGTTAAACCCTGGTTTTCCTAAATAAATAACAAATTAGAGAAGGCCCTAGTTGTCCGCAGTGGAGACTATAACCTGATGATTAAAATAATACCTACTTTATGTGATCTCAAGTCTCACAGCAAATCCTTTGTCCCCAGGCTACCCACCACTTCGTCCCCCACAGCATGATACAAAGCTAGCACCATGGGGGTGACCGACGACTTGGCCCCAAGCTTTACCCAGAAGCCGCAGCTTCGCCAGGAGGATGATGGGAACAAACTCATCTTCGAGTGCCAGCTGCTGGCCTCTCCGAAACCGGAGATATGCTGGTACAGAAGCGACGAACTCCTCAAAGAGGACACTAGGACTAAGTTTAAGTGAGTANGCTTCTTTGTATTTGATTCAAAATTAATTTTCTTTACCTATTCGACAAATCGTTACAGTACAACGTTTGTTGCATGTTGTTTATAAATCTAAATCTTTCATATCAATGACAGTTTAAAAAACTTTCCCTGGGGACCAACTTGACCTTCATTGATTGGGTTGTTATTGGCGGTCAAGCTGTAGATTCTGGCTACACAGGAGTTGCAGTGTGGTGGGAAAGAGGGGTGGGAATAGTCCCGTATCCAAATATCTGTAATTTTTCTAGGGATGTTTCTTGTCGTGCTTCTTTCTCTTTATGGTCTTACCATAATCGTTAGTTTCGTCCAATTACGTCCACTTCTGTACAGAAGTTCCATAACGACCCGTCCTACTCTGTTCAATTAATTATTATCATCCTTGAAATTGTTCTATAAAGTAACTTAGTAGTAGTTAGCTTAGGTTGACTTCACAGTGCCCCTACTAAAGTACCTACTTCGTGTTTCTTATAATATTACTTTTGTTTGTCCTGTGTCATTCGCATTGCACTGGCCTAAACCACGCCTAGTCAGTCTCATGGTAGACTTGAACCCACGAGCTTTCACTTGTCAGGTTACTGCTGCTACTAAAGAGTTTTTATGCCCTTAGACCCGTTTAATTAAAGTTTTTTTACATTTTAACAAATGTATTCCTCTTGGTTACTTGATGACTTTTACTCTTTCTGACACGACTGAATTAGACTAACACCGTTTAACATGTTCTACGAATCACAGAATCATTTTCGTTACATTTGATAACAGACAACAGTGAACTTAACTTACGTGCCTAATGAGCGAATATCTCTAAATCAATTTTGTCACTATTGAACCACGGAGGTGTAAACACTGTACATAAAACGATGGAAATATGGTAATTTTAAATATACCTGCGTAATTACCCATCTACGAGTACTTATGTATACCGAAGAATACAGGTAGTCCCTCATATAATATCGGCAAACATCTTCGGCTCATTAATTGTTTAAATTGTTTTTTACCTGTGGAAACCTATAAGTGGTTTGCTTGTTGCCTATCTTATGTCATTATTACACACTGTTAACCTTTGGCGTGCTATTGAGCCGCGCAAAACTGCACCCCCAACTGCTACGGTTTTCAAATGATGTTTCAAAATGACCAAAGTAGTCTTGTCTTATAGATCTGAGACAAAGCAGTTGACAGAGGTTGCACAGATATGAGACAAAGCAGGAGAGGTTAAACCCTGGTTTTCCTAAATAAATAAATAACAAATTAGAGAAGGCCCTAGCTGTCCGCAGTGGAGACTATATTACCTGATGACTAAGATAATACCTACAATGTATTCTCAAGTCTCACAGCAAATTCTTTGTCCCCAGGCTACCCACCACTTCGTCCCCCACAGCATGATACAAAGCTAGCACCATGGGGGTGACCGACGACTTGGCCCCAAGCTTTACCCAGAAGCCGCAGCTTCGCCAGGAGGATGACGGGAACAAACTCATCTTCGAGTGCCAGCTGCTGGCCTCTCCGAAACCGGAGATATGCTGGTACAGAAGCGACGAACTCCTCAAGGAGGACACTTGTTTGCTAAGACGCACAAAAACTATGATGTAATGTGTAAATATTTGGACTGTGTAAAGTTGTTCAAGAGTTCGATTGCGATTCCACAGAATAAGTAATAGTGATACATTGCATTCATCAATGGAAAAGGGTTAAAAATATTTGTGCAATCATGTTGATGCTCATCTTGACACATATTTGTGACCAGTTGTGACCGGTTACTTTGAGGGTTTATCTGGCACGGGCAATTTTCGGAGAAACTACATTTTGAACACACAAAATGTTTGTACTTGATGACTAAACTTAAAATTATTGTTTGATGATTGTCTGTCACTGAACTTGACCCATTAAATTATTTTCGTATCGATGGACGGTTTCTAAACATAATGTTCGTCAGCTCGTATAGTTCAAATGATAACGTTAATGCTTGACGTATTATAAATTCTTGCATCTAGTTATTCTACATACAACTGTGATATTTTGAATGCAACGACTGTAATTTGAGTATAAATAAATAAAATACGAAAATGTTACTCAAAACTGTTGATATTTGTAATGTACAATTTATTATGTACTATCTGCCACAGTTACGGCTACCCATTTCCGGTCATGTCGTCTCGTTCTATCGCAATCAATGAGAGCGAGAGAAAAAACGGAATACATAATATTTTTAACGTTTTTTGTCCTTTGAAATATTTTATCATTCTTAAAGAATTTTTTATTTATTTATGTGTTTACAAAAGTATCGTAGTTACCAACTTCTGGGTCAACAGTCAGACGTTACCTTGGATTTGCACAATTTGTTTGATCAACCGCTTCCTTTGATGCAACGATTGAAGCCAAACAAGCGGTCGGTTGACACACTTGGCAGCCCGGCCAATGGTAGGTGATAGAAAAAGTTAGAGCACACATAGAGACGATGCGATGATGGTAAACAGTGCAGTCGACAACAGACTGTACATTTTTGTGGTACTTAAAGCAAGTGTGGCAAGTTTACAACTACATATTATAAAGATGCCTCAAACAAACCACGGAACAGGTTTGAAAAATACCGTTATTATTAATGTTCTTTAATAGTTTTTGCATTAATTTCGTTTCGACCGAAAACGATGTTATTTCGTTTTTTAACCGAAAAAAACCGGCCAGCGCGGCAGTGTCTTGCATCAAAAGGGGGTGGGCGCGGGGATCACGCACACAATGAAGTGCCCCGATATAACGGTTAATTGTGGTAAAGAACGAAAACGTAACCAAAAACTTGGTTCTGAAAAATAATGTTATTAATACCGGTTTCAAGGAACGGAAACGAAATTATTTCGTTCTCATGTACTTGCTATAACTGTTTGAAAAATTTACCGGTATCCGAGCCTTGGCCTCAATGTAGAGCTTGATATGCTGTTATCTGTACCTGCAAGAATTATTAATTGCATGTGACTTTGCGAAGATAGGTAAATAATACATCAATGTATTTTCACCGTATGCTTTGTACAGTAATTTCCTTTGAACGTTGATGGATTTTATCTGCAACAAACATAAACAATGTACATTTATTAAAAAGCATAATCACTCCGAAATGTTAGATTTTTAAATATTTTACTATTAGATTTTTCAATTACAGTAAAAAACAGTTTTTTTAAATTCATTTCGAACTCTTCTAAGTTAATGCATTATTTTCGTAGTATGAATTGCTACGGCCTCTACGCCGTAGTAGCGCGTAGGTCTCGGCACAGCTACGAAATTACTACGATGCTACGATCCATTATCCATTCCCTCGTAGTAACTTCAACATAAAAATGTACATTGCTCTCATTAAACCTAAATATTGTATCATTGTATAGTATATTTGTTTTATGTCATTTACTAAATTCTGAGTAAGTTAATTCATTGATTCATTCAATTCATACGATTTAGTATTGTTGTGAAAAATTGAAACGATTTTTGCTACAGATTTAAAATTATATTTTCGTATGTCAACATCACATTTTTGCTATATTGATGATTATTTCTGAATATTTGACTATCAACGCTATTTAGTTAGAGAAATCGACATAACTAACTACCATTTTAACCTTTATAATATCTTAAAATGGCTGCCACTCAAAACATTTGTATAATGACTATAATAAAATCAAATTAGGTTTGCTAACCATGAAATCTTAAAACTAGCACATAATCCATTGAGAACATTAAACCAAAACCGTAAAATATACTCGTGTTAGACGAACCGTTAAATTTTAACCGTGAAGTTTTGAACCGGTTCCAAGATCTGTCGCCGACAGATGTTATCGTGTTAACATTCTGTTGCAGTTGTTGAATTGTCATAACGATACATCATTCGTTTAATATTTTGTGTTGTTGTATTACTATTTTTCTCGCGGGCAGATGGCAACATTGTTGCAAATGCAAACATCCTATTACCAATCATCCACAAACTTCTAAAAAATCGAATACCTTAGTGTGATATATAGCAAATTTGAACCCCTGTTTAACAAGCATATTTAGAATCATGTTATTTATTTAGAAAATAATATTTTATTTACTAACGATATCCCAAACATTATATCGTTACTAAATAATGTTGCTACTTTTTTTCTTTCTATATTTTATCTGTCCAACATAGTACATCGTCAAATGATACGTATCTTACCATTTAGTTTTAAAGAAAAAAACACACCGATTAAATGCTGTTGAATGATTGTTAAAAAAATAAATAAATAAATGATATTTCAAGATTAACGCAGTTTGGCATCTCCATAATATTACTCAACGTCGTTTTCAAGTACTAGTTTTTAACATGCGTTTAGGTATTCTTTTAGAGGTTCACATTTTTATTGATTTTGGATCTTAACCTAAGATAATAAAGTTGTAAGTTTTTAAAAAAATGGNAAGAAAGTGTAGTAGTGTGCTTGCCGGTTAAGGGAGTAAATAAAAGAATGCTCTTCTTTTATTTACTCCCTTAACCGGCAAGCAATGCCCTACAATGAAAAAAATTTTTGGTTACTTCTTACACAACAAAAGTGACCACCGAACTACTAAGTGTTAACTATAACCAAACTAAGTGTAGCTCACTACAGAATTATTTGTTTAATTTACACAACATTTTGTTCCTCATAAACAAAATGTTCAGTGGTCACTTTTGTTGTGTAAATAGTAACCAAACATTTTTTTCAGTGTAGGGCATGGGGATGTTGCCTGGGTCAAAAAGCAAGAGTTTTAATTAGTCCGTCAGTTAACTTATCAAAAAATACTCTACACGTATTTTTCACTTTTTCAAACTAATGAAAATTTAAAGAGATAAAGCGCCCCAAAGTTCATAAGAAGAGGTCCGTGACGTCAACGCTTGCTTAAAAATGCCGCACGTTGTGACGTCGTGCGCAACTTCAACGCACCATAACTATGTAATTATTTGTTAGATTGACAAATAAAAATATACGTGTCCAATATTTTTTTATATTAAACATTACTGACTAAAAAAATTTTTTTAGGCAACTAGCCTATTGCTTGCGTCATAAAGTTCAAAATCAAGTGGCAACTGAAATCTTGAGGGTTTAATCGTTCTCCTCGCCATCTTCAGGATCCAGAGCATCGCCAACAACAAGTTCCTGGTGGTGCTCGAGTTGGACGACGTGATCGAGAGCGACGCGGGGCTCTACAAAGTTAAGGCCAAGAACAAGATGGGCGAGGTGGCCGCCTCCATCAACCTTAACTTCAGCCGTGAGTACTCAGCCTTATTTTAGACTATGGTATGGTGTAAGATTTTAAACTTTCGCGTCCCATTTCAATTAAAATAGTAAGACAGGGGAATTAACGCGATGTTTATTAATGAGTTACATGTACTCACGTTTACTTTTACTCATTAATAAACGTCGCGTTAAGACCCGTGTCTTACTATGGTATGGTGGTTTCAGAATTGAGATTTTAACTTTTTCATTAAAGTAAGTATATATATAAATATATAAACTGAAGCCTATTTAGGGTTCTGAATTGAAAGATAATCAACTTTGAGAATTCGGCTTAAGTAATGTCAATTCAGGACAATTTAATGGTCGTTCGTCACAAACGGGAATAAGTACGCTGGACGCTAGTCAAATTCAAATTCTTTATTGCACATTAAGTCATTGGAAAAGAATGTGCTTTTCCCTGTGTCAAGTTCAGTAGTATATCGACAATAACCCAATACTACATGTACCAATAGTTTGATTGGCAAGTTCACCAAGTTGTACTTAGGTATAACCATACCTAGCTTGTAAACACTAATCACTAGATGACCGATACGTTAAAGCAGAACTGATGGGCCCAGTTTGGCTTTATGTATTAACGAGTTACTTTAACCTACAAAGTAATTCAAAGTGGGACTAGAGTAAAAAATTTTGAGGACTTCATACCCTGTCGAGCATAATTCACGGTATTGGAATTAACCTCAGTTTAAATGTAAAGACTTCACATACTAGATTATGTTACCCACAATGAACGTATCGAACAAAACATTGTCACTTACATTCACCGTAATCCTACACTGTGCCAATAAAAATACCTTCACAAATAACGGCGTTAGTCATAGTCCGAAATAAATGTCTGCAAAAAATCGCCGCTGGTGATCCCACGCCCGTCGTGAGCCAAGATGCGCCGGCGCACGTCGCCACCACACAACAAACGTGGAGGCAGTAGGACTAATAGGCTAGTTTCCTAAAAAAAATTTTTTAGTCCGTCATGTTTAATATCAAAAAATATTGGACACATATATTTTTATTTGTCTAACAAATAATTACATAGTTATGGTGCGTTGAAGTTCCGCACGACGTCACAACGTGCGGCACTTTTATGCAAGCATTGACGTCACGGGCCTCTACTTATGAACTTTGGCGCGCTTTATCTCTTTAAATTTTCATTAGTTTGAAAAAGTGAAAAATACGTGTAGAGTATTTTTTGATAAGTTAACTGACGGACTAATTAAAACTCTTGCTTTTTGACCCAGGAAACATCCCTATTGTCTTATTTAAAACTTAAAACTAAAAACACTGACCCACAATTAAACAAAGTAACTGCCGATTTGATAGCACATCACAAAGTGCAAAAAGTGTATCAATGTGTTACTACAATGCGTACTACACACAGGTTTTATAAGTGAAAGGACACAAAATACACTCGCATAACAAGCTTGTAAAATAATAAAATACATGAGGTTGAACATGAGACTCTTGTCTCAAACACTCAAATTTTACTGGTTTGTAATTAATAAAATTACGTAAACTCATTATCTTTAGCCGAGTGAAACGAGCCGTGCTTGTTTGCTCGGTGAGAAGCTTTAATCAAACTTCCTCACTTTGTTACTTTACACTATAAAAATGTAATAAAATTATGCAGAAGATTTTACAGCAAACCCTCTGAAACTACACGCATTGTAGCTCACCCGTCAGAATTGTATCACTTTTCACTTACGACAATCGTCAGACATGTTAGACGTTGTAAACATGAAAACTATGACGAAAATTGATGATTACTCATTACAGTGGTATGAATACACTTTAGACTTGACGCGAGTGTATATTTATAGGCATTTGTCATAAGAAGTCTGGGAAAATAGGGCGAAGAAATCTTGTTACAGCTTTGTAAATAAGGTCTTATGAATGAAGACGTATTTAGACTTGGAATGCTTCAGTGGTGATACAAGCCATTATCAAACTCAATACCCTTTAATGATATTTCAAAACAACAAAATTCAGCAATATTTCGAAGATCACAACAAACATACTTAGGTTAAGATAAACTAGCAAAAAGGTCAGCTTATGTAGATCATCTCCACATTAGTTTGAAGCTAGACACATGGTCATTTTCATCTTCAGACCTTTATCAGCTTTTTGGGGTTCACTCTCTAAATTAGCTCTCTCCAGAAAGAGCATTGCCCTGAATTTTACAGAATTTTGTTCCTAAAACTTCTCACCTAATCTCGGATTAATTCCATAGCTAAAATCCAAGGAATTCTTGCAATCCGGTTATCAATGATCCGAATGTTTACGTCTGGTTTCCGAGAGTGATAAACATTGGGAATCTGCTCTAGATCTGGTTCTATTTGTGTTGTGAAGGATTCCACAACTATTCCTTAGCTGAACAAACTAAGATACACAAAACTAATTGCTTTGTTTTTATTTTCAGCCGCTGACGAGGAAAAACAGAAGTGAGTATCAACCGAATTCTTTGATACAATATTTCTAGAGTTAAAGTATTAGTTGCAAAAACAATACACACAACAAAAGTAGACGCAACTCAAGTTGCACCACTCGATGTACTCGTAAACCTGATTAAAAAACTTATTCCATCAGTTTTTTTAAACCAAACAACCTTCTATTTAGAGCGGTTCAATCAAAGCTCTTTATCAACCGACTTCAAAAAAGGAGGAGGTTCTCAATNTTTAAGATATACAAAACTAATTGCTTTGTTTTTATTTTCAGCCGCTGACGAGGAAAAACAGAAGTGAGTATCAACCGAATTCTTTGATACAACATTTTTATGGAGTTGTGTGTAAAAGTGTAATTTTCCTAGCTAGAATATTAGTTGCAAAAACAATACACACAACTAAGGTAGACGCAACTCAAGTTGCACCACTCGATGTAAGCCTGATTAAAAAACTTATCCATCAGTTTTTTAAACCAAAAAACATTCTATTTAGAGCGATTCAATCAATTAAAGCTCTTTATTTTATATTTCATATTTGATTATCCCTTTCAAACTTAATTCTGGTACAGTCAGCATCAAATAGAGATACACAAAGTGCCCAAAAAGTTATCAATGTACACAATCTTATTCCAGTTGTAACAAAGATGTGTTGCGAACGTATTGGTTACTTTGGGTGGCACGAACTAAATGACGCTGTTTGTACCTAGAAGTGTCACGGCTAGATTATTATTCAAGTTAATGGTTTTTCTTCGATCATTTTCAGGCAAGTGGACGGGAAAGCGCCTACGTTCGCGAAAAAGCCGGCCATCAGGCAGGAAGACGATGGCAAGCGGCTCATATTCGAGTGCCGCATCGAAGCCGAGCCGGTGCCCAGTGTGGCGTGGTTCCACAACACTAGCGAGGTCAAACCCGGAGCCAGGCATAAGGTAAACACCGTTATACCCTACACAAAAGGTTCAAATTCACGCGCTTGAACCAGGTTGATACTACACCAAAGGAAAATCACTGCTAGACGAAACGAGACCAAAGCTTAAATAAGTATTTCTTTCCTTGCCTCCTTAAAGTCCTCGGTCCACAGAGCAAATTATACTAAGTTTTTAGACTAGGTTACATTCGAGGACCGAATCCAGAACCTCTAAGTAAAGAGAATCTATAAACTCTCCAACTACAAGCCTAACGGGCTACAAGCCCGTTAGAGTTAAACGTCAGGATAAAAACAATCATGAAAAATGTGCTACACTCCACATACTGTCACCTTGCAAATCTGGAGAGCATGGTATAAATAGGCAAACTTACGTAACAGTTAATGACACTCAAACAAGTCACCGATCCGAAATAGACACTAATTAAGAACAAGACTAGCGTAATGAGAGAAAAGCTTTTAAAAACGTAAAAATAAAAACGAGTGTGGCTGCCATAGTCGAACCTATTTAAAGAGTTCAGAGATGGCCTTGACCCCGATCTACTTGGCTAGAGTCGGCACCAGGTGTTCATAGTACAGGGTGACCTTATGACCCAATTTTGTCTATTAATTTATTGGCCAATCAATGATTCTGTTATCAATTTACTTTCAGAAGCTTTTTTTTCTATTTTGATGACTTTTAATTTGGAACTTAAACTTATTTCTTTTAAAAGACAAATGCAGTTATTAGGTTTATAGTGTCTTTTATATTCATGATGAGCTGTATCGACCTTTAAGTTGCAATTCAGTTTAAAAACCAATTCTTAAAAAAAAACCAACTCAAATGAACAGCTTTATTATTAGTAGTTCAGCACCTCTTCATCTACATCTGCTACTTCCGAGACTTTACATGCTCACTTTGGTTAGACTACGATTTTGATATCTATCTATAAAGAAGAATGAGGTATTTCCATTTCTAAATCCAGAAATACAGCGTTTTTTTATATTTTTCCACAGTTGACAGTAAGCAAAGAGGGGAAGTCTTATTATGCCTCGCTCGAAATCAGCAACGTGACAGTGGAAGACGCTGGCAAGTACCGCGTGACGGCCAAGAACGAACTTGGCGAGAGCAACGCCACGATCAGCTTAAACTTCGACAGTGAGTAACTGACACTATACCTAATGATATTGATGACACCTCACGTGATGATGATTCAGGAAATGCTTTTGATCACTTTGAAGATATAGGAGTCATTAATAATGACGAATTTGTAGTAACAGACATTATACTTATTGAATCTGATGATGTTTCATGTGTTGATGATGATTCAGATGATGTTAATGGTTATTTTGAAGATGTAACCAGTGATGTAGGTGTCAAAACGTTAATGATCACTTTGATGATATAAACAGTGATTTACATGTTGGACTTGTTGTAACACATAAACGTTACTTGAAAACTAATTGATATGGTAGTTCTTATTACAATGAAAAATACACTTATGTTGATCGTATTAATTTGTTGTTAGAGTTACAAGCTTAAGTTTTTAACATTTGCGTTATTGTTTTGTGTGATCCTAATCCTTAATTTTTTATAGATTTATTTTTGTCAGTAATCGTAGAATTTGCAGCAAAGCTTTTGTAATCATCGACTAATTCTATCGAATTATCAATTACTCTACAATAATACACTAGAATTCTACGTAAATTACGAAACGCTGTTTTGTGATTATCTTAATTTAAGATGTTTTCTTAATGTCTAATAAATACTTCGTTTCTAGACTTACACATACACTCTGCACTTACACTACTACACAATCTATAGATTCATTTTTATTTACGTTTTATTAAACACATTTTACACCAACACTACTCTCACGTATGTTGATTTATGTATCCTAATTATATTTATTAGCATGTATTTATTTAATTATATTAATGGTTACGTACAAACTTTGACTATCATCGTTTTCACGTTGTTTATTTGCTACCATGCTTTTATTAACAAATAACTTTCCCGCATTAGTTTTGGTAGTTAGAAATAATATGCAATTTGTGCTTCAGCAATTGCACATAACGAAAACTTTAACAGGCGACTGTAATGCGTACTGATATTAGATTGGACGTAGATTCAAGAAATTACACGATAATATGAATTTATATTATATTTATCTATTGGACTACTATCTATTTCTTATAATACTCCTCAATTAACTTTATTAAATGCCAAAATTAATATTGGTTTATGATTAATCTCACACGAAACTAAAAGAAAACATCTTAAATTTAACGTCATTGGAAAAGCTGCTGCAAGTGATCGGATTTATGACAAATGTTTTAAAACTGACACTAATACCTGAGTTCACAATGTAGGCGACGAAGCGCCCGTGCCTGAGGACTTTATCAAACCGACATTCACGGAGAGACCCGTCATCAGGCAATCGGAAGATGGTACCAAAATCACTTTCGAATGCAGATGCGTTGGCAAACCGAAACCAACCATTGCATGGTAAGATCCCACAACACATGTTAGCAAACACAACAAAACAGAATACACCATCATTAATGTCTTATCATCAATGATTCAGGTACCATGGAAAAAAATTAATAAAAGAAAGTAGTCGATACAAAATCACACTAGAAGAGGACCAAACGTTATACCACATGGCGCGGCTAGAAATCTTAGGCGTAGAGAATTCGGACAGAGGAGAATACAGGGCATTGGCGAAAAACAAACACGGTGAAGGCGTAGCAAAAATTAACTTAAATTTCGAGGGTGGAGACAAACCTAAGTATGCACCTTCTCATTTTCAAATTGTATTCTTTTGATAGGGCTGCTATTAAAATTTTATGTTTTGAACAGAATCCCCGATGGTAAAGCACCGAGGTTTCCTAAAAAGCCAACAATTAGACAAGAGGGTGATGTGTTAATAATGGAATGTGTATTAGAAGCATATCCCCTACCAGATATTACGTGGTTTCACGGAGATAAAGAAATCAAAGATGGGGCCAAAATGAAGATGTCTAGAAAGGCAATTGGAAAAGATACGTTTAATCTGACCTTAGAAATTTTAAGCCCCACCAGGGAAGATGGTGGGAACTATAGATGTAATGCCTTCAACTTGTTTGGCGAGAGTAATGCGAATATTGCTCTCAACTTCCAAGGTAAAACAGGATTTTAATATCTTTACAAATGTAACACGTACGCATACAGTAGCAATAGCATGTAAGGCTTTAAGCTTATGGGCTGCATGAAGCTTCATAAATAAACAAATACATTTAATTCATGTAAGTAGTAAAATAAAAACGTGTTTTTTCTTAGGTGGGGATGACGAAAATGGTTTCGCACCGTCGTTTGTGGAGAAACCCCGAATCATTCCCAATGAAGACGGAACACTTATCACAATGCGTTGTGTATGTAAGGCCAAGCCGGCGGCTGAAGTCACGTGGTACCGAGGCACGACGGTCATTAAGGCTAGCAGCAAAATTGAAATCAAATCGAGTTTATTGGAAGAAGACATATACGAATTGGTGTTGCTTTTGGCAAACCCGACATCAGCGGATGGTGGCGCATACCGCTGTCATGTCAAGAACGAATATGGCGAAAGCAACGCTAATCTGAACTTGAACATTGAGGCTGAACCAGAACCAGAAGGTGAAGGCCCAACGTTTGTCGAAAAACCCACTATTCAGTCAAAGGACAACGGCAAACTAGTTATAATGGGATGCAAGGTCAAGGCTAGCCCGAAACCGACGATCGTGTGGTACCACGAAGGCAAAGAAATCAGGGACTCGTCGAAAATTAAGACCAGGGTCGAGGTCAAAGAAGACATTTACACAATAATATTGGAACTTATTGATCCTGGTATTGAAGACTCCGGATTGTATAAATGCAATATCAAAAATGAACTTGGGGAGCTCAATGCAAATCTTACGCTCAATATTGAAAGTAAGCTTATTCTATATTTATACCGNCAATCTGATATCATTGAAGTGGACTATAATGAATTAATTAATTACTAATAAATATGATTTTCCTTACAGTCATTCCAGTTATCAAAGAGAAACCAAAGATCATTAAGATAATTAAAAAGAAGACTGTTATTGTTGAATGTAAAGTATTAAGTAAATTTGCACCTGCTTGCACTTGGTTCAAGGAATCAAGCGCCGTCAAAGAGGACTCAAGGCACACTGTGCTTATTGAACCTCTAAGAGAAGTAAGTCCATACCTTCCTTTATTTATAGAAATCTCATAAAATGTAACTATAATTTATGTCTTCAATGGTTTATTTATTTTATTTCTTGTTAATTTCAGGGCGAATTCACAGTCAAATTGGAAATTTCTAATGTTTCACAACATGACAAAGGATCTTACAAACTCGTCGCTAAGAACGAGAAGGGTGAAGCGACGTCACAACAAGTCGAAATCACGGACATACCTGAAGAAAAGGGAGACAAACCCCAGATCATCAAGCACTTCAGGAGTTTGGTAAGTATTTAGGTACAATCTACATACTTCTCTTTCAAAACCTTGTGAAAGATTTCTGCAGAAATGTGAATTAATGTTACTTTTTTCTTCAGGCCAAGAAAGAAAACGAGGAAGCTGAGTTTGTGGCCGTGCTCAAGACATCAGACCAGTCTTGCAGATGCACATGGTACAAGAACTCTACTGTAATCAGGGATTCCTCTGAAATCAACACGTCCTTCGATGGAACGAACGCCAGATTAATCATCAGGAAGGTTACGTCGAAGTACGTTGCGAACTACAGAGTCGTTATCAAGAACGAGTTTGGTGAAGATGAGTCGAGTGCTGACTTGACCATCGTTGAGGAAAAGGTATGTATTTAAAAGTAATCTTTAAAGACAGATTATGTACCCAAATTTTTTATCCTTACATATCATTAATTCAAATGCATTATTTAGAAAAAGAAGAAGGAGGAAGAGGAAGAAGAAACAACTGTAATTGAGGAATCAGAAGAAGAAATGTCGATAGTAGAAGAAAAGTCTGTTATCGAAGAAAACCACGTTGAGGAGAAAAAGAAGGTAAGTAATTTTAAATGATCATTATACTTAACTGTTGCATTGGTACTCCTAACTAGTTTAATAATCTATAAGAAAAGGGTCCTCAATGGCACAAAATAGGTTGACTGTAATAGGATTTCTGATAAGAAACTTGAGTCTTTTTATTGCGACTTGTGATTACAAATGAATGAATTTTAATGTAGGAAGAAGAAAAGAAAATGTCGGCCAAGAAGGTTGTCAAGAAAGAAGAAGTAAAGGTTGAGCAATCTCAACAAGAAATTGAAATAGATGCTAAGAAATCTGAAACAAAGACGGAAGCAAAGAAAGTTTCCAAGAAAGAAGAAGTCGTTTCAAAACAATCTGAAATGGAAGTTGAAGAAGCCAAGAAAGTTCTTGAGAAGAAAACTGCTAAGACAGAAGAAGAGAAGAAAGCTCTTCTCGAGAAGATTGAAAAGAAGAAAACAGAACCCGAACCTGAGGCTAAAATTGAAGGCATTCCAAAACTCAAACCGGTCAAACCCAAGGAAGAACCAGTTGAGGAAAAGAAAGAGGCCGCTAAAAAGACTGAAAAAACTGAAAAGAAGGTCGTCAAAAAGAAGGTTGTTGCAAAGAAAGAGGAGGTAAGTGACATTTTTCAGCTGCACATAGAGCAATGTAAAAAAAGCTTTAAAACATTGTTATAGAGAAATAGAACTATACTACAGAACTTTAGTAATTGTTAATTATGTAGTTGTAAAACAATTTTTTACTTTTTTATAAATATTTAGATTTAGGTAATGCATAGTATTGGTGTAACTGCTTTGTTGTATACATGCACAGATCAACTTTTCTCAAATACTATTGATCTGTAAGTTATTATTTACTGACATTTTTAATGTGATAACATAATTCTCTAGTGTGTATGTGTTAACATTCCATGTGCTAAATTGTGTTTAAACTTAGGACGAAATCGAGTTTGTCGACGATTACGAGCGACCCGTATTGGAGAAGTATGAAAAGATTACACCGACACCACTCGATAAAAAACCTAAAGAGGATGACACTCCTAAGGTAATCACATCACACTACTTTTCACCCACACACACAAATATTAATTTTTTAAATCCTTTAAAATGAAATAATTAAGACGGTTAGCTAAAACAAAGTGATATTATTTAGGCTAAACGCGCATCTGTATCAGAAAGCGTTAAAAGTGAACAGGAGAGTGAAGATGAACCTTCTGTGGCTGGACCAGCCCCAGAGAAAAAACCGAAAACTGCTGAAAAAGCAAAGGTAATAAATAATTATCTAACACATTCAAAACATTCTATGCATTTGTTAAAGTCCCTAATATATTCAATTAAATTAAAAAGATAATTCATTCGCTCAAAATTGTATTTCAACTTAGGTCGAAGAAGAAAAGGCTGAGCCAAAGAGGCCAAGCATCAAAAAAGGTGTACGTAAACCAGAAGAACCGGTTGACGAGATTTCTCAAGTTAAATTGTCCAAAACACCAACTAAAGCAACAGAGGACAAACTTGAGGAACCACAGGTTGCTAAGACTAAAAAACCGGTTAAGAAGGTAAACTTTCTTCCATAATTTAAATAGTTTTATGAAATATAAAATTAAGTAAAGAAACTTAGGATTCTAAAACTTTTGTGTTTCTCTAGCCGGGTGAACAACCCGAATTCGTGGATGATTATGAAAGACCCGAACTTGAAAAGTACGATAAAATGACGCCTACTGCAACAGATAGGAATAAAAAGCAAAATGGTGTTCAGGAGGTAATTTTCAAGTCAAATTTTTTACAACTTATTGTTTTTTACTTACCTACTCAAGTTTAATATCTCAAATTAAATTAATTAAAATTATACGTAGGCCGAGCCTGAATTTGTCGATGACTACGAAAAACCTGAACTCGAAAAATACGAAAAAGTTACACCTACACCTAAGGACAAACGTCGTCCTAGTGATACTCAGGTAAAAAGTTTAATAAAATAGAGTTCACTATAACCCACTTTGTTTGATGAAAACATTATTTGACTTATTCATTATGTTCTATAGGATGATAGTGAAATGATGAGAGGTAAAATAAAGCCTAAACCTAAAGAAGAAGAGCCTGAAATGCCATCTCTTCGAAAGCGTCCTGTTACAAAGGATAAGGTACAACATAATTTAAATAAAATCATTTACAAGAATTACGATCTCCCAATTTCAATTGAAACTAATAATAAAAATATTTATTAGGAAGAGGAAAAACAGCCCGAGGAAAAGCCTAAGGCTAAACCCAAAAAGACAGATGAACCTCAAACTAAGAAACGTCCGTCACTTAAAGAAAAAGAGGTATTAGAACTTATTTTATACACACACATAAACATAACGAGTGGTTTGCAGAGGCACTATTTACAAATGGACATTTCTCTATACTCTTAATTTACTTTCTACTTACTCATTTCACATACAAAGCTTCACTGCACACAATTCTAAGCAATAATCCTCTATCGCGGCCAAAACAATAATTACTATTCGGTAATCTTTTCAACTTTTGAAAAAAACTTTGCATGCATGCCATAAATGCTGTAAAAGGCTTCGCTTTATATGTAAATTTTCAGTGTGAGATTTTTAAAATTAATAGCAGTAGCATAAGGTTTGAATTCAATGAATTCATAGGTACACAGAAAGTTTCAGAAACACCAGGTAGGTAAATTAAAGTTTTAGTATCTTCTAACGAAAATTTAAACGTTTTGTTACTATTAAAGGTTGCAGAGGAAGAATTTATTGATGATTATGAAAGACCGGTTCTCGAGAAATACGAAAAACTCATACCGACACCTACAGAGAAAAAGAAGGTACACACATGCACACAGTTTGTTCGCACTATCTTCAGTTACATTGACTTTTTAATTATCATAGATAATTAGCATTATAATAATCAATTAATATCTTTGTAAGGTCGAAGACAAAAAGGTTGCTGAAAAATCTAAGGCAACACTTGACAAAACGGACGAAACACCATCCAAGAAACGTCCTTCTCTTAAATCAAACGAGGTAGGAATTACGAATTTAGGGTTCTTTCATCTCTCTTTATAGATATTTGGTTTAATTTGAAGTAACTAAACACAAACTATCTATGATAATAAGCTCGATATTATTTATTAGGAAGAAGAACAGAAACCACAAGATAAACCTAAGGCTAAAGTATCGAAGCCTGATGAACCTCAATCGGTCTCAAACGATACTAAACTGTCGCCCTTTGATAAGCCTCAACCTACGACAGTTGATAAAAAACGACCTTCTGTCGACGAAGAAATGGTATGAACAGTTTGAAGCAAAATTTCGCTATACAAAAGACTTTTTGGCTGAAATAACTGGTTTTTAAAACATCTAGTAAACACTCTACTTAATACACATTTCCGGTTTCACAACACAAAAATCTATGCTATAATACTCTATTGCGACAACCTGCAAACTTTGCAATTTTGCATCTTTGCAACTAGGAAGTGTAAGTATGTAAATAAATGCTTCTCAAACTTGCATGGCAAGCTGTACAATGCTTAGCTTCGAATAATTTTCAAAGGAAAAAAGTTTGTCTTTACTGACGAAAATATTAAAAGGAAGAGGGACTAGCGATCCACCCTCTTATTTATAAAGTAAATTATGCAATTTCGTTTTAGAATCGATTACATTGTCACTTTCCATCAAATAGTAATTTTACTATGATGAAAAGAGACAAAATTAATTTACTGAAATTCTTATAAATAAGGGGGTAAGTATAATAGGTACACAAAGATTTCAACATTGAAGAAATCGACGTTTGTTTAATATGTAGTTTACTTGAACTTGCAACAATTTTAAAGGATGTGGACGAAGAGTTTGTCGATGATTATGAGCGGCCAGTACTCGAGAAATACGAGAAAATAACGCCAACGCCTACTGAGAAGAAAAAGGTACACTATGCAGTAATATTTGTAGTATTTCACACATTTAAAAATTCATAAAGGTTCTTTAACTAAAGCCAAATTCGTATTGTTAGGATTATAAGAGTAAACCAGAAGAGAAAGCAGAGGCAAAACCTGCTAAGACAGAGGAGCCTCAAGTCAAAAAGCGTCCCTCACTTAAAGGAAAAGAGGTATAAATTCCATCTTCTTTAAATATTCTTTGAATTTCCTTTCCTTTCTCTTGATGATGTTTATTTGAAAAAATTAAAGCACATGAGCTGTATCATCTTCTTATCATATTTTCTCACTGTCTCTTACTCTATCTGTTTCCATAATATTCTCGTCTAAGCCTTTCTTTAAATTAATCATGGTAAATACGTGTTATTAGGAGGACTCTACAAAACCAAAGGATGAACCTAAGCCAAAAGCTCCTAAAAAGGACGAGCCTCAACCTAACAAAGGTGTTTCAGTTAAAGAAGAGGTATAAAATTACATTAGTTATTTTGTAGATTTCATAGATATTATTAATAAACTAAGGCGTGATATCAAAGTTTTGGCATCTACTAAGATCTTATTTTTTTCTCATAACTTATCGATTAAATAGGTTGACGACGAGAAACTTGAAGAAATACCAAAGGCAACACCAGTTAAGACAGAGGAACCTTTGACTAAAAAACGTCCTTCACTGAAAGAGGTAAACAAACACTCAAGTTTATTTCTATCTTCACCCTCACTTGACTTTCTAATAAAAATCATTTGGGAATGACACTTGTAATACACCTACAAAACTATTTTATTAGGATGACGAGGAAGAGACAGTGGAAACCACAAAAACCACAACAGAAAGGGTAGAAACAAAAACCAAGAAACGACCTTCTCTTAAAGATAAAGAGGTACAGACATTTAGTCACATTTTCAATTCAACGTTATCTTTAGCAATTCTTTGCAAGACTCCTTTTGGGTCTGAAGCTTCAAACAATTGTGTTTATTTTGATGTCAGTTATTGAGTAAAGTTATATTATTAGGAGGAAGACAAAAAACCAGAAGAAAAACCAAAGGCTAAAACGCCTAAGACGGATGATGCAAAGCCTAAAAAGCGTCCTTCGGTTAAAGAACCTGAGGTACACATTTGAATAGCAGTAGTTATGACATAACATGCACACAACTAAATACGAATAACAGTAGTAGATAATATTACACAATAGTAGAATGAACTAGAATAATATTCGGCAAGAACTTAGATTAATATCACACTTTCAGTTTGCATAGCACACGCCACGCCACGCCACGAGCTAGCTCATAATCCTATTGCGGTCCTCTTCCTGCACCGATAAAGTTATTAAAATATAATAAAATAAAGCCACTCTGTAAATACAATAATACGCTTATGCTGTACAATGCTTTGCTTTGTAAAAATACTGTAAATATTAATATTTATTTAAATTGTAGTTCGTTCGCACAACAGATTTTGTTGCTAGCACAGTAATAATATCACTCAATATTTTTAGATTAAAAGCATAAACAAGGTCAAAGGCATTATGCGCATTTTTAATATAAAAGCAAAAAAAAATCATCAAATAACTGCAGAAATACAATAACGCTTGCTACCTAAGTACTCACATAGAACGTAACGTTAAAGGTTGCAGAAGCCGAATTCGTCGACGATTACGAGCGACCGGTTCTCGAGAAATACGAGAAAATCACACCAACACCCACTGAGAAAAAGAAGAAGGTACACAGCACTCGCACAATGCTTACAATATACAAATTGCTCCGCAAAACATTAGTAGTTTAGTTACAATGATATTTTGACTTATTTGATTTCAATATACCTATTTGTTAGGACGACAAAAAACCGGAGGAAGAAGTTCCTTCAGCCACAGCAACTGCCAAACGTCGTTCTGTTAAAGACAAAGATAAGCCTGAGGTATGATAAAATTGAAATAAAATAAAATTAGTAGGGACATTTTTGACTTTATATCCAATAATAATGATTCCAAATCAATTTCTTAGCCTATGGACGTGGACGAGGAGTTTAGTTTATCCAAACCCAAAACTCCAGCCAAGCCAGGAAAGGAACCTGAAGACGTTTCGCTTACACACAAAACACCAGCTGAAATCAAACCTACGGTTCGTACACTTACATTTTTGGTTTACTACTGCAAACCCTAAAAGCTTGCCAAAACAATCTTGCTGAATCCAAAAGAACATAGAATTAAAATATCAAATAACTTTCAATATAGGAAGACGAGGCTGAAGCGAAACTCAACATTAAGAAACCCGAAATCGTCGAAGAGAAAACACTTAAGAGACCTACACCTAAATCTAAAGAACAAAAGGTACGACAATTTTTGGATGTTTACGCCTTTAAAAATGCAATAGCCAATAAAAAAGGGAGATAAGAATATATCCATAAGTTAAGAATCTTATCAAAATTATTCGCAGACAGACACGGTGCCTATGAAAAATAATATACCACCATTATCGGCACCAGACGTACTAAAACGACTATTAATACTTGTTAAGGTACCAGCTGGTAAAACGTAGTTACGATCTACTTCTATCGTGTGGTTAGAGAATTTAGTTTTAGGATAGATTTCAGCACCAATTTAATTGCAAATACACTTATTGGAGATTTTTGGAGAAAAAATATCACAACGCACACACGATTGTCAATATTACACTTTTTATTTTATTTTTTCACTGTAGATATTTTTACTGCTTTCTCTTGTTCTATCTCCCCTTTTGACTACAAAAGCAAATACAGCATCACTGCTACCATCAATTTCTTCTTGTGAATATTATTTCATTGTTTTCACTATGGGGCCAGGGTGAGGACACAGAGGAGGCTGTCAGTATCACCAAGCCCCGAACTAAGACCAGCACGACTGCTCCTGAAGAAGCATCTCTTACACAAAAGACTCCTGCTAAGAAAAAGCCTACGGTACTGATCCTCTTTCATTTGATTATCTCAGCTTTAAATTGAAAATTAAATCCTTATTATGTGCTTTGTTATGAAACAATATTTTTCAAACAAAGTGTATGATTCAAAAATTACAACATTTATTAATTCTGTACCAGGAGGGATCAGAAGCAGCTCAACTTAAGGTGAAAAAACCGGCTGTTGTCAAAAAAGGAGATGACGATGAGGTAGAAAATTGCTCTAAATTTGATGTGACAAGCACAAATTGGCGTATTGAACATTGGCAATTGCAACCCAGCTGAGATAATTGACCTACAACTAATATTTTCCGTTTTCTAGATAGTCTAATCCAGTTTGGATTACCCTAAACACACCGTTTTTTTTGCCAGCGCACAAAAACTAACATCCTTGTACGCAGTAAACGAACGCTTATAGAACTCCATTAAAAGCTTTTTATACTTCTCTAGGCGCCTCTGGTAGTACAAGATGGTAAATTCGAAAAACCACAACTCAAGAAAACTGTTAAGAAGACCACAGTATCACCTACAAAGGAGGTTGGGACTAAACAGACCGACAAGGACGGGGTAATCATTGACAATGTTGAACTTCTTCGTGACTTCTATTCTTTCTGTTTCGGTCTATTTTACTTCATCGAATGCAGATATAGCTACGTGGTCTAGGTTAGTCCAACGTAGGTATGTGCACATAAAAGTGACTGTATACGTTTGACAGCCAAGACTAAGTCTGCTACTCCTGCGATCGGTGTAGTTTCTCACCCTACACTCTATATTTTATCAATATCACTGTGTTTGTACTCCACTGCACATCCACACTCCCACAAATTCCACTGTATAGTTCTACACCAAAATGTATTTACTCAATGTTAAATGATCGAATCAAAGGTTCTGAAGATGTCCTTCGTTGTTCTAGCACAAGATGGCGTGGGTTGTAAGTCGCATCGCATGTGCTTGATATTTGTTTTTGTTTAATGTTTCTGTTTTATTTCCAGCTTTCGGTAAGTAAGTACATCTTACGTATTTAACTTCAGACTTGAAATGTAAAACCCCTAGTAAAAGACCAGTCTTCTTGACTAGACTTCTAAGTAATTGGTTAATTTTTAAATAAGAAAATATAGAACTATGGATGTCCATTTAGGCAATCGTCTAATTTTGCTTTAAATTTTCCAGCTCGAATTGGACTTCGTTGATGACTACGAGAGGCCAGTTCTTGAGAAATATGAGAAGATCACGCCCACTCCCACTACTAGGGAGAAGAAGGAAAAGGAAACTAAGGTAAGGAAACAAAAGAATAAAGAAATAAAAGACAATCAACCTGTAATTTCCAATCAAGGTAATGAAGTAAAGTTGTGGCATAAACTGAGTCTGAAACTATAATAATATTAAGCTCAAATAAAGCCATAACGAAAATATTTTCTGCTAAATAATGATGGACTTAGCCTAAAATGTAATACATCTATCACATTTTATAATTTAGTTCATTTATACCAGCTTCATTTATTTATTGGTTGTTATTAATTCTAACAGCAGGTTACGATGATATCACAACAACAGCAACGTCTAGAAGTGAAGGTAGAATGGATATGTCATAGCGTGACCCCATCTCATTATTTTTTCCTGGCCACTGTAGATTGAATTTGGAAAATCTAGTTTATTTTATGACATGAAATAGATATTTTTTTATCGATCATCAAATACCCAAAAACAAGCAGTTCATCCATAATGTGTTTCCCTTTCTTGAAGATTTTGATTTCTTTTGTATAATATTTCCAAATGTTCCGTCCCGTTTGACCCCAGTTAATGTTTATTTGCCACGTGTACATTTTCCTATTGTTTTGTTTTATGTTAGAGTTACGAGTATGTCCAAGAATTCTTGTGCTAATATAAAATTTGCATTTTCTTTCATCTAGACTGAAAGCCGAAGGACTTCAATCCAGTCTGAGGTATCAATTTTGAACTCAATGCCTTCTATTGCTTGGCTATAAAAATAATTATTCCAAATAATTTTATCACATGTTTAACATGATCGAAAGTATTTTCTTCGATTTTGTGTTTGGTATTTTAGATTTTTGTAATAAGCTTATTGCTCAGTTACGCGATCTCAAATTGTATGAAATTAATATACAAATTGTTAACACTTTTTAGGTCAAAGAAGAATCTAAGATTGAGAGCAGAAAGAGCTCCGTTGCTGAAGACAAATCAATGAAAGTAAGTGTCAGTTTAATCCCTCATACTAACTTGAGAGTTTTTGAAAAATCAACCCACGGTCTAAAAGTTATTCCGAAGGATACCTACCCCTATCTTAGGTTTAGAAAATATTTTGAGAAAAAAGTCGTATACTCGTAGGTAGTTTAGTGCTATTTTATTATTTCTTAAAAAACATCGCCAAGGGGTACGTTAGGGTCAATTTTATAGATATAGCACACCAATAGCCGTGCCAATAGGTACTATTTGTTCTGCTATAGATTAACATAATGATTAACGTCTTTTAAAACAGTTCACAAAAGAGACTGCAGAAAGCAGAAAGTCATCGCTTTCTGTGGCCGAGAAGCAAGAAGTGGGAACACTGAAGAAATCTTCGGCCCAGAAGGTAAGTCTTGAAACAACTATCTTGCATTATTATTTTGGAAAATATCATTTAAATTGTAAATGTGGACTTTCTTCGATTAGAACAAAGTCCACAACCTTCTTTAAATTTTTAAATTCTATTTAGAGATAGGTAGATACATAATTAGTTTGTTTAGCAGTATTTAGATATTTCAAAAATTTATTGAAGCAAGCCCTGCGCAAGAGCCGCACCCTAGTAGAGTCCTACACCTGTAGTCATGTAGACAGTACAAGTTTTATTACTACCCCCGCTTTGTAAGATTTGCAGTATATTTCCAGCGCATTTAGACCCACACCACGGTAATACTATAGATAATATTACCGTGCCCACACCGTTTTAGAATTTGTTGAGATTTTCGTATCCACTAGTTAGTATTTTTCTTATTTTGCATTCCTTTTCTAGATTAAGGTTTTACTCGTAAATCATCATTGTAGGTAATAATATACCTATCAACGATTAACAAAATAATGTGTTGCGTCAAAGTTCTAAAACTTTGACGAGTTGCATTTCATCAAAATAGCATAATCCATCAATATTATAGCATCGTAAAAATAACTACAGTGTTAAGAAATGTTTTGTTATGTTGATTTACGGATACCTACCTTCAACAAAAGTAGAGTAGTTAGCAAAAATATTTGATACCTCTTCCCTGCCAGTGTTGCTGTAGAATTTAAGAGTTTTGAACCATTTTATTGATATCACTTTGAATACTGCAGTAACGCTTGTATTTAGTTTAAGCAACGTGTAATTAAATTAACTGAAAAGTTCTAGCAACAGATTTTATATTCTCACTTTTAATTTTTGAAAAACAAAAGCAATTAATTCTTCACACAAACAAGTTCTACGTTAATTTAATTACACGTTACACACATGCAGTACCCAATTATGCTTATTCACATTCCAAATAACTTGTGATTTTAGCCTACCATTAAGGAACCAGAATCAAGTGAAATGAACCAAATTAAACTAAAGGTAAGTCAGGTCTGAGTCTCTCAGCATGTCATTCTATCTCTATGTTACAAAAGAATATAAAGTTTCTATTTTCTTATCTCAATATCTATGTAAAACATAAAAAACCAAAGATACTTCATTTATGTTTTCTTTTGTATATAAATTCTATTCAACTTTTCAATTTCTAATTATTTTTTATATCGTGTGTTAAGTAAATAACTATTTTGTGATTAATTATACACGTGAATATACAAGAAGACAACAAGAAATAGGTACATCAAATTGTGTTCTACGATGGGTAACGTTGTATTTTTGTAAATAGGACGACACTATAGAGATAGAAGAAAAGGTACCAACAGAATCTGTCGATAAGCCATCAGAAAAAACGTATCCATGGCGACCTACGAAAACAGACACTCAGGTATATACACATCACTCACAGAAACACACACTTACATAATTAAACTTAAATCTAATTAAATAAACTTAAAATATGATTTCGTGTAGGAAACCAAAGAAAAAGTGGAACCTAAACGTAAGCCTAGCTTAGAGAAACCGTCGGAACCAACATCAATAAGACGAAGATCTAGTAAAACAAAGGTAAACCTTCATAAACTTCTAATATCTCACATTATTTTAATTAACGAAAAGATATAAATAATAATAAATTACAACAACCTAAACAGGATACGGTAGAAGTTGAAGAAACTAAGACTGTAGAGGAGGCGGAAACCAAGCGAAAGGTTTCTGTCGACAAACCAAAAGAATTGGCTCAACCTCGGCGAAGGCCAAGTAAAACTACTGAGGTAGAGTCTTTATTATTTACTACAGAATTATGTTTAGAAAATTAGTCTAAAGTTAATTTTATTTTGCATAATACTTACAATGAGTTCTATGAACAGGAATCCAAGGAGAACATTGAACCTGTAACAATACAAAAAGTAGAAGTTCAAGACAAACCAGTTGTTGAAAAACCAGAGGAGCCTAGCTATCCTTGGCGTAGACCAAGCAAAGTTGAGGTACTTCAATAATACATAATTTTTCATTACTAAGTTCATAACTAAACAGATGTTATCGATATTAAACTGATATTTTAAATAATTCTTCAAAATGATCAAATTAATATAGACAGATAAATAGCTAAAGCATTGAATTCAGTAACGTAAAATACTTTAAGTATATTTTGCTAATGTTATTATTATAATCAGGACAAAACTGAAGCAATGGAAGTGACAGAGAAAGTATCTGTTGAGAAAGAACCAGAGCCTTCTTATCCTTGGAGACGTCCCTCTAAAACTACAGAGGTATTACAATCTCATTACATAAACTTCAGCTCATCTATACCTTTTTCAAAATAATATTATATTGAATTTCATTATCATTTAAATTTTAGGCTCCAGTAGAGAAAAAACTTGAGATACCTTCACCGGTTGTAGCAGATGAAAAGCCAAAGGTATTACTAGTAGTTTATTACTTAATAAACAAATTGATAATGATATAAATAAAATAATAAATTGCGATCCTAAATACATTGATTAAAGTGGTGATATTAATTTAATCATTGATATTGTTAGGAACCAGAGGCACCTAAAACACCAGTACAATCTCCATTCTGTGCTTGGCGTAGGAAATCTTATAATAGTATGGAGGTGGGTAAAATTCGATGATAAAATTGCAAATTAAATACCACATAAATACTTTTTAAACACATTGTTAATTGTAATTGTTCTTTAGGATGATTTCGAGGAGGTTAAACCATGGGAAACAACTAAAGAAACTGACAAACCAAAGGTAGAATAAAATCAATTTAATGTCTTTAAATTTAAAGCTTAAACTCAAATACTAAATAAGACTTATTTTAATAGGAATCTGTTGAGGAAATAAAAACGGAGAAACCCGTTGAAACGCCTAAACAATCTCCATTCTATGCATGGATGAAAAAACCAAGCATTGAGATTGAGGTTGGTATAAACGTTACAGTTAAATAGTCACTCAAACTCATACTGAAATAAATAAAACAATAAACACTCAACATTATTACTCCATTTACTCATCGATCTCACGCAAACATTTTATTACAATAGGAACCGGAAGAAGTTCCAAAAATAGAAATACAACCGATAGAAAAACCAAAACAAACTTTATATCCGTGGAGAAAGTCAAACACGGAGGTAAAAATCCTACAAAACATTCCACATTCATAATTTGAATATTTCAATTCAAATCATGCCTTTATAATACACACAGCAACACCATACATGCACACTCATACACATAAGCACTGGCACGTTTGAATTCTAAAATCATAAAAACAAAAACTAAATTTTAAAATTTATCAGGAACCGGAAGTTAAATCGGCTCCTGACACTAAACCGAACGAAGTTCCGTTCTCATGGGATGTCATACCTGAGATACCACAGGTAGATTATCATTATTAAAAAGTTTATTATTAAAATATAACACGTACAGTCAACTAAATATCGACGTTTTCAAATTCAGGCTGAACAAACACCAGAGTTGGAAGACAAATACAAACCCACACTACTAGATACATCTGACACATTACCTTGGAGAAGACCACGGTCTCCTCAGGTACACAATCTCCTTACACTTTCATATTACACTATCACAAACATACATCACAACAGAGATCTCCTTGTGAAAACGATAAGTGAACACGTTTTTTGTCACATTTGGCTTTGAACTCAGCTTAATAAGAATAATCCTTTTTAAGTCTAATTTGAAGCCATCTTTTTAGCATCAGTAATTTGGCATTGATCACTCTTAAAAATTGCTATTAACGCTGAGATATGATGCCAATGTTTCAGTCATAATAATAGCCAAACATTAAAACTAATTGTGAAAGCGCTTACTTATCGCTAAAATTAATTATCTCATCAATCAGATCGAGTGTACAATCAGCATTATAAATGTCATTTACTTTTACATTCTGTGCATTGTTTAGCACATAAACTGTTACTGTAAAGAATTTACTGATGCTGATAGTACAGTAAACATCATTCTAGAGTTTCAATGCTTCACTAAAAATAAAAATCACTTACGTTTTCTCAAGGAGAGATATCTGATACACACTTCGTATGGTCGCCATTAATTGAAATTATCTGTAGGCTGAAATGACAGAGGACAAAGACCGTAGACAGAGCACATTAGAAATCCCACAGCCCGCTTTTAGCAGCAACCCTGACGAGGTACATCCGCACAAATGGGATATTTGAGCACTGCACTAAATTTTTTCACAGGATTTTGATTTAGCACCAGCACTATCAATTGGCACCAAAATTTTAAATTTGTTGTTACGCACATTATCTTCAATGGCTAGAGATTTAATAAAAACAATGTGATTTGCAGACTGATCTTTGAAGATTCTGTTATTATTAAATGTCTAGCCATTGATAAAGTAACTGTCGCACTTGAAGTAGAAGAATGTAATGTATTGGGCATGTACATACCGTTGTATATTAATTAAATGAACCTCCAGCAATGCACTATTGTTAGTTATAATGTAAGCACACAGTACACGAATGAAATGCAATGTTAGCGGAATAACCAATAGTTCTATCTTCACTGTCTTTTTGTGTTACTAACACAATTTCCTGCTTTGCTTTGCTTATTAATTTATGGTTAAGTTGCACATTATACTACACATAATTAAAAATATCTGTGAATTTGATAATTTTTTGGTTAAAGGTAAGTTAACCATTGTTTAATTGGTAATACAATTTTCCCTTTTTTCTAAAGGAAAACAAACACATGACAATAGAATATCTTCAAAACAAACAAAGTTTTAAATGTAAAAATACCTATGTAATGTAATTTTTGTACAATGAACAAAATTAAACAACAATGTAGGCAAATTGCAAACAAGATGTTGAATTTACAGAAAGTGGCAGTCAAAGAAGAGAAAATCGAAGAAGAAGCCAAGAAGGCTAAGGTTACTTCAGTTAAGAAGAAGGCAGAAGAACTGCCTGAAATACCAGATTATGAAAGGCCAGACCTTGAGAAATACGAAAAAATGGACTTTACACCTTCAACTAGGGACAAGCCCGAAAAAGACAAGGTTCGTGTTGATATTAAAAAACTTGACCGCATTTTTTTTTCAATTTAAAAAATTGAGCATGAAGTACTTACTCGTTGGAAGTTAAAGTGTAATGTCGTGGTAATGTGATGAAGAAATAAACCTTAAAAAGTCGAAATTGATCGAAATAAATTAATCATTCTAAAATTTAATCGTTTTGTCATGCAGCCCATTCCAAAGGTGCCTGAAATCAAGGCACCGGAAGAGAAGCCTGCAGCGCCAAAGATCGAGGTCATCCGAGAGAAATCTCCGAAACCCGACATGCCCAGGAAACCATCCCTGGTGCCTGGCGCGCCCGTCGGCAGACGTGGCTCCCTCATTCCTCCTCCAGAGGAAATGGGTAGACGTCCATCGCTCATCATCAGCGACGAGGTATGTAATCACTTTTCCAATCACGATAGAAAAAAGAATATAATTTTTAACTTCAATTTCATTATTTTAATCGATTCAACAATTTCAGTCAAGGTATGAACACAAGTAGATTTTCTGGTTATTGTGTCGTCCGACATGTAGTTATAGTATATTTTGTATAATTTTTATTACTTTTGTACCAATATCAAAGTTCTTGTCTTTGGTTTTTCGACTATAAAAGACCTAATTTACTTTCAAATAATTTTGATATTAGTACAAAACCACAAAGTTAGGCCCTCCTTTGTAGCTTAGATTCCTATTATCTCGAGCCGAACCCTTAACATTAGATTGACCCCAGAATGCCCCAGATATCCCCAACGGATTGCCCCTAATCATCTAAAGAACCGATGAGCTTCACACATTTTACAGCCTCCAATGCTTTGTAGAACCAAAATATGTAATTTTCACAGTTTTGATTTTATTTTAGAGTCCCCTTTTCCCTGCTTCTAGATCAATAGTTTATTAGCCTATAGATACACATTAGACTCTAAAACACTGTCTATTAGATCGTGTATTTAGTCATTTTAAATACCGTACAAAACATAATCCACAGGAGAATAGAAAACTAAGACCTGGTGAGGTGGTCGAAGAAAAGAAGGTAAAAGCAAAAACCGCTAAGAATATTACGTGAATGCTGTCCGTTATATTGCCGTGATAAAAGTCTTAACTGTATCTTTAAAACGAAATATTAACGCGTTTGCATCTGACGCGGTTTACGAAACCAAATCTGGACGATTGCTAATCACATCGCCATTAAATTTGGAAAAAAACAAGTGATGGTCCAGTCTTGGTGTTTTAAAAAAACTTGTCGTCGCATAAAATCTGCACACACTTGTGGTCATCGCGCACAAAATTGCACAGCTTGTACGCACGCCACGCACACAAATAACGGTCACAGAGTATGTTCGTGTCGATATTCGAGAAATTTTACAAGATTAACCTGGACACATGGTGCGTTTAAGAACGCTTTCTTACACATCATGGTCTTGGAGCGGACACTAACAAAATTTAACATGAAAATGATGCAATATAACGTAATAACTCGCACAGCTGAGTATCTGCACCAAATAATAAAACCAGTTAGGCTAGGTAGGGCGTTAGGTTCGGCCAAGGAGATATTAGGCAGGCAAATGGTTTTCACGGGGTTATTATCAATGTTTTTTAACAACAGGTCACCAAATTACGCCCTGGCGAAGTTTTAGACGAGAAAAAGGTGAGATCGACTGGGTCTGGTCTGTTTTAGGTGGACGCTGCTCGCTTTTGCAAAGCATTTTGTTTTTAGATGTTTTTTCTTCTTTTATTACACTCACGACATTAAGGACAGTTAATTCGTGAATTTCACACAATATAACACGATATCCTTTGTCCAAATAATTTTGAATATTATGAATCAGAACATTCTTGACACCTAACTCTTGTTCACTATTAAATTCAACATTTAAAAAGAGTAAATACCAGAACAGTTTCCTTTTTCACACAAATGATTTACCTTGAATTATTTAGTTAAAAACCCCCTTATTAGTTTTTAAATGCACAACGTCCCCATACAATACATGATTCCTTTTAGTTTTCTTTTAGATGTTAATTCCAATTCTAAAGTTTAGTTCACCGCTTTGCTATCCAGCTAAACTTAGTACAGAAGCTGGAGCAAATGTTTGACTTTTTTGATTGGTAAAAGAATCAGTGAAATTATACTAAATAATAAGTACTTCTACAAGAAGAAGAAGTACTTCTACAAGTACTTAATTTTTAAAAATGCTAAGAAATCTGATTCTATTATCAACACGCTTATTAGTTGACTTTTAGAATGGCTTTAGTTTTCCGATTCCCTGATAACTGGTTTTAGTTTTAATTTTCCGCTAATCCTGATAGTGTTATAGTTTTGCAAAACACACTTTATACATATAAACAATTTAACTATTAATGAATTATAATGTGCAAATGACACACTAAAATTAACGCGACTGACATATTCATTCGACAGTGCTATACTTAAATTACATTCCAAAACACTACATTTCACACCTACACAAACATCTCACACCCACACGTAATATTTAAAATTGTTAATTGCACAATACATTTATTTAAATTATATTAATGTATAGTTATAATTCCATGCACATTAACAGAGAATGTATTACTAAAAGTATATTTTTTTCCGAAAAAGAAACGCAGCAGGCCGGGTGAACTCGCGGACGAGGTATACCATGTGTGGAGAATATATGTTTAGATATATGTCATAGAGAAAATATTAGATACGTGGCTAACATAGATTTTTCCCAACGTGATTAATTCGAAGCCAAACGAACTGTTGTAGAAAGAAATGAAGAAAACAGTCATAAATGTAACAAAAAATTTATGACTGGATTTCTTGAAGGCATACATTAAGCAAATTATGTACGATTCAATGTTATTGTAAATATAAAACAAATAGTTATAGTGCTCCTAACCCCTTGTCATCCTAACACATAACTATAAATAAATAAACCTAAACATAATAGTAAATGCATGGTCCCAACGGATATAATAAAACTGCTGAGTATGTTAATAAACCGATCCTTAATATTGGTGATATAAATTTACAGACTGTAAACATTTACATTTACGTTAGAATGGGTGTATCTGTAAATTTATTGACTGATAAACAAGAAAGTGCATGTTCCAATGCCACTAATGTGCGGAAACCAGATAACATTTATACATAGAAGGATAACGTTAATGATCAACTTTCTAGTCATCATAACCAGAATTTATAATACAGAAAACTGCTGTATGAAAACGAACTTAATAGCGATGCCTAGAAGGTTGAAATTAAAGTTCCAAACGTTGCCCTTTGCCTAGATGTCACAAAACATGCCCTCACGTAGGCAGACATGCCTAAAGACTTGAACGGAGTCTAATTGTGTCGCAAACAATAATTATAAATCACTCAGATTGAATATAGAAGCGGAAGCTAAACAAAGATACTATATTTAGACAGAGATAGACGCCAAAGCTGTAACCATGACGCGGATAATGTAAATCATGATGAGAAAAAGGCACATTAGAACGGGACGGACGGTTAATATCCATTTGCTATAAATGATTATGATCAACAGAATCGTGTAGGTCCAGACATAGTTTATATGCAACTGTTGACAGCTGTTGGTACACAAACGCATAAAACGCTTGATAAAATGAAGGTTGCAAGACCTATGCATTAGTATATTAAAATATGGGTAGCGCATTTTCTTACATAACTTTTCAATTCCTATCATTGGAGGTCCGAAAATATTTCTCATACAATTTGATACCATAATGATCATTTTTCATAAAAAATTTAAAACCTACATATTTAAAAACATAATCATTGATATTCATAATATCACTAATCATACACTTAGTTTTGACTAATATTTGTTTTCATATATTTTTCTATACTAATGATCGAAACTCATAATCATTCGAATAAATAACTATAACATTCATAAATGTGATGTATCCTAATATTTGTTTTTATAAATTTATTACTTATAAGTGTATTTATCGGTATCCTTCCGTTTGGCCAAATTACTTTTCGCCAAATTTCACTTCGCAAACAACTTATCACCAAAGTTTCATTTCCCAAATGAACTTTTAGCAACTGTACTTTTCGCAACTAATTCATTTGGTCAAATTATCATTTGGAAAAATTTTACTTGGCAAATGTTTATATAGCAAATGTTTTATTTTGCCAAATATTATATCCCAAATAATTTGTTTGGTCAAATTGACACTTCACATACTTACCCACCGTTACCCACAAATCAAAGCATAAGGCAGATGATCATGGTTTTCACAAGAATTTTATGTAAAACAAAGAGATTGCAGAAAATAGTATGGTTGCAGAAAGTAGGTATTGCAGAAAATAGTAGGTTAGGTTAGGTTAGAACAGTGACCCTTAACGCGCGAAGGCGAGCGAAGCGTGCCGCGGCAGCGGCCGCCGAGCGCTAGAATCAACTGTATTGTTTAATGAATCATTTGGAAATTTCGATAAAAAGAATGAAATATGAAAATTAATTTAGAACAAATTTTATATTATCTACCCACTAAACAAAATAATAACCACAAGCTAATTTGTAGTCCATTCTATGTGACAATCAAATTATTTTGTAAATAGTTTATCGTGAAATATTTTTGCCAAATGAAACATTTGGCAAAACATACTTTGCCAAACAATAATTTGCTTAACAATAATATGCCAAAAACGACATTTGCGAATTAAAAGTTTGCAATAAGTTGTTTTGCCAAATGAGAATTTGCCAAATGAAAATTTGCGAATCGTTGTTTGCGATGTGATAATTTGGGAAACGTTTTTTGGCCAAACATTAGTAATCCCTGAACAACAACATTATGAGTTGAAGTATGTTCTTAGTAACAACATTATTAATTAAAACAATATGATCAATGAATGTTATGAAGAAAAAAGATCTGAAAATAAAAATTATGTATTTTAAATGGTTCTTGGCAGTAACAGTATTGATAAAAAAATTATGATTACTAACTGTTATGAGCTCCGTTGGTAGTAATAAAAATATATGAATAAAAAAAGTATTAAAAATAAAATTATGAAGAGAGATTATTATGAACACAAATCGGTAGTAAGACAAAGAATAGGATTTAGAATTTTATGTGAGCCAATATAGAACCTAAAATATGATGGTATGGCAAATAAAATAATACAAATATTGACAAGATAAATATCTGGCCACAATTTTTCTAATACAACAATTTACATTATTTATGTAAACTAAACAAAAAAAAAAACAAAACACAAAAAAGTCACAATCCTAATTAAACCTTTTAACTTGTTATTAATTTGAATTACATGCGCTATAATGATAATATTTGCGATCAAAATGGCAAAATTGATCGCGCCACCTCGGGCCTATTAGAAATGAAAAATCGCATTCGCAGCTGTTAGAAGAGAGGCGTGTACACTCGGAGTGAAAGATGGCAACATTAAACAGTGACGTTATGCTACAAGCATATTCCGGAAGATTATTAAAATATTTTTCTTTCTCTTTGTACGAGTATGTTCGTTTTAACCAAAAGACTGGATAAAAACCCCTCATGAGTTTCTAAAACGAAGGCTTTTGCTCTACCTGCTTCTATGCTTTCCGTGACCTTCACCGGATTGTTAGTCCATTATGTCCTTTCTTAAATACTTATTTATTGTCAAAATCTTAAATTTTTATTAAACTGCTGTGTCCAATTTTTAAATAATACCTAGTCATCAATGTTTAAGATGGCATCATAATAGATAGTAGAGTTCGAAAACCGTTCCTGAAATCCAGCTCTTAAAATCATGGGGGGTAAACGTTGTTATTTCTGACCGATAATAAATTGACTGCCTTGAGTTACCTAGAGCATAGATTCCACACTCCACACAGTTAGTTCTAACTGCAAACGTCATCACCTTCAGTTATGATTTAACGCCGTCGACTGTTGATGACGTAAAAGCGTTATAAACGCGCGTGCGCCTGGACCCAAGACGCGATATGATGGATGGATATTCTTCTAAATATGACTGCGCGATATAGGCCAAGATCGGCCACTTGAACTCTGTCATTGTCAGCTGATGCCAACCCAGTGAATTATTGCGGTTACTCTGTAGTCTGTATTGTTAAAAAGATATATCTCGCCTCATCTGACATCTGTAATTGGTGGACACAGTTCGCAAGAAAAAATATATAAATTGGCTAATAGACTAGACATCCAAATCTTAGATTGATGACACCGTTTAATCTGGCCTTCGCATCGTCTACAATGTAACGATTGATAAACAGAAGACAAGCCTATTAATAATGCAATCTAAAAAGGGCATCTAAACTAATAATAAACCCAATGCCAGCACGAAATTGTGATTGAAAAATCTTTCAACTAAATTAAAGGAGATGCATTATGTCATGTTACCAAGCACGACTATACGGGTTTGTTTAGGTAATCTTTCTTGACAAGCAATATTGAAAAGAAATTCTGACATTCAGAAAAATACGATCAATCTAAGCTCTATTCCCAAAAACAAAAAATAGAAATAATTTAAATGAAAATAAAGAAATCTTAAATAGTACGAGTAATTACAAGCGCAATTAAAGATTACAAATACGAGTAAAATGGCTGAATGAATGGTTCAGAATAATTTAAAGCAATTATTGTGTCAAATGTAAGAAAAATAATTGATCAGTTAAGAATACAGAGAGTCTTTGGCTACAGTGCAACAAAATTGCCAATAATTTCGACTATAAGCTAAAAATTCTAATAATTTAAACGTTACTTGACAAACATCGATACATTATCGATATTAGAAAATAAAATAGCGGAACGAGAAATTCAGACCACTTTGGCGCAGCTTCATGCATTTCTATGATCTAAACAACAGATGTATTGTACTGGATGACGTATCGAATAGCGCGAAGGTATTTGATTGACACATTGATGTGGAAGCAAAAATACCTGTTGTGCGCGTGGGCAGAACCGCGGCCGCACCGGGAGTGGCCAGGAGAGCCGCGGACAACGCTGTTCTCACCACACTTGGCAATAGCGCCAAGTTCACGCCGATGACTGGCTATTGGCTGCGACCCCTTATCATTAATCAATACATCGGCAGGTGTTACCCTTTAAACCGCAAATTTTGATTTTTCAAAAGCAGCATCAACCTAATCCACGCCCTAAAACAATGTAACAACGGTTGGATTTGCTTTAGGCTCAAATATTTTAACTCCTCAAGGATCTTCAGTCAAAAATACAGATGTGACAGCACGACACAACGAATTTGTCGGCTTGTTAGTAATTTGCTCACCTATTCGTACCTATAACTTGGAACCCCTTGGCAGCGATGACAATCGTTTGAATAATTACCATTGTATTAGTTGCCAATCAATCTTTCGTGCGTTTGCGCAAGCCTTCAATCTCATATAATTTATGAATCGAGACAACTGCGGACGGTCCACGGTTGGGTTGTTGGGATGTTTGGCCAGGAATGCGGCGCGGGCATCTAATGTCATCGCCGTCACGATAACACGAACCGATTCAAAAATGCTGACATGGTTTTACTTGATTCGCGGAAAGCAAAAAGCACGTAAAGTACATGCCTGAATTGGGCTCTATGTAAAGTTATGAGAGACGGATACGATAACGTCATTGCCTAAGGTCCAGTCCAGTGTCGCCAACGTGGCACTTTTCGACAACTACGCGTATATATTTACGCCGTCCAAGAACACGCTACACGGATTGCTCACCTTAATCTGATAATTAATTGAAATGCTCTGCTGATTTGTGCTGTGCACAAATAGAAGTGCGCCCCTCCCCGCCGCTGCCGAGCGGCCATCCTGCCCGACCCTTCAGTCTTTTGACATTCGCGCCCATTTTTAGATGGAACGACACTTACGAACTGTCCAAATCGAAAATTTACCGACCAAACAAAAAAATAGTAAAAATAAGGTGTAACACTTAAAACAATAAGCATTTAGGGGTTTTAAAAATGAATCCTCCAGGCGTAGGACGACGGAAAAGGCTTTCGATGAACTTTCGTGAAATGAAATAATTGTGTGGAATAGCAAAGCATCTGTGATAATTTTTATTGTTAGCGACTTTTTTAGTTTTAAGTTACTGTTTCGGCAGTTTTGTGGCATCTTAGTTCTATGTGATTGACACGATGGCAGCGGTGGCTAAGAAACCTCTAGCTCCGCCTAAGCCAAAAGTCGATCCGGTAAGTACGAGAACTTTTTTGAAAGCTCCTAAGTTGGTTCCAAGTTTACTCTGAATTTACAATGGTCATTCAAATATTGTGCAAGTTATTCACAGTGGGATTATTTTTATTTTACTTATTATGTACTTTCTTCAGTTTAAAAGTTTTCTATTAACATTTTCTTTGTACTTTTTATTGTAAAAATTCTAGTTTGGATTTTAAAGTGGTTCTAGTATATTTTCTTCGGCGTATTTTAATCTTATTTTATTTAACTTAACTGTTTCTTAATTTTAATTACAAATAGGTAAATTATTTTTTAACATTTGTCACTTTAGCATTTTTCATGTCATATTAAACTACAAGGTTACCTAAGTTACACCTTTAACTCAACAATTTACTCACACTTTTTAATTTCACGTAGACTTTTATTGCTCTTGACAATTTTCCATTAGATATTAGGTAAGTCTGTGAAGGACGAATTAATTTTTAAAATTACCTCGATAGAGTAGGTACCTACTTTCTTTCCACGAGTGATACGAGCTATTTCATAAAGCTGTCATGGTATTCCATGTAAACCTCTGGAATTTGCCCTAATTAACACTATCAGCTAGTTACAGACCTGGTAATATATTAAGCCATATGTGTCTTTGAGCTGTAACCATAATTTTCCGCCTACGCGCCCATTCCCGCGTCATCAACACATACGCACGCACTCATTTGATTCATCTTCGGATCGCCATCAATTTTGTTTATATTCTCCTCTGCCACTAATTAATTCTGATTCAGAACAATAATATGCTTGATTGAACATTTACTGGCATCTAATTAGGAATAGGGCTCGACCTGAATTTTACTGTGATCATTAGTGCCTTCTAAGAGCGTTTCAGAACTATCGTCTTCATTTTGGGTATCATTAGTTTCGTTAATTAGATGTTCTTCATATCAGGTGATAGCTACACGATCATAATAATATGCCATTAACATAATTTCATAAGCGAGACGCGCCACTTGCGCCACATTTGTCAGGAAGTCCAGCTCTTCATTGTCAAGCCACTTGGCGACCGCTCATAACGTGTCGCATCTGTCATAACCGCGCTAATGCATCATGTATAAAATTTTGCTACAGCGATATCATTTTTCAACGTACATTTATATTTGAACCACTACAACGATATTTCAATGGCCTTTGATTAATTTCTGCTATTTGTTTGACTATCATCGGACAGATGAATATAATGTTTGTTATTAAACAGGAGATTGAGTATTTGCGTATTAGTTTATGAAAATGCAATAAATGCTTATGTGCGGTGAACGGAGCATCTTGTTGAAAAACGCTTTGATTATCATTATTTACTTTTCCGTTCACCGTAACTTCTCTGTTGATTTCTTCGTGATTAACCTATGTTACTGAACTTTCGATCCTGGAAGTGTTACTAACTTTATGTCGATGATATAGCGACGAAAGTCCGGTGACGCCAGAAGACCGTCCATCCAAGATTTGGAGGACCTCATCAACAAACCATCGGTGCCATTGAAGCCTCTCGGCAATGAGGGACCGCCGGTCATTGTCGACGTGCAAGAAAGCTACTCGGCTGTTGAAGGTTATCATTTTACTTACTTTTTAATTGATATAATGAATTTAAGAACTTCAAGTAAGATTTTCAAGTTATTGAAGCGACAATAACTAGACGACCCTAGAGTTGGCCATCGAACTCCCGACACTAGGGTCACTAGTTTGATCGGCTAGTCGCTAGTTCGAAGGGACTCGTATTCTATTTAGCTTAACTTTAAGGAGTTAAGTGATATTGGTAATTTGTTAACGAAAAATTATTACTCGTAACCCTTTAAATTAAGTTTAAGTAAGATTTATCTCAAATGATGTCATCTAACAAAACTATTTTCCGCAGACCAAACTGGCTACCTCACGGTACAAGTGGAGGGTAATCCTCCACCAACATTCAAGTTCTACAAGGGCGTCACTGAGATCATTGAAGGTGGACGCTTCAAATACGTCACGGATGGTGAAACCGGCCTCATCACCTTGTGCATGAGGAAGGTGAAGCCCAACGATGAAGGCAAATACAAGGTGGTGGTCAGCAACATCCACGGGGAGGACTCCGCTGAGATGCAGCTCTACGTGTCTGGTGAGGATCTTTATTACTTCAAAAGTTCCATTAAAATTAGCTTCACATAGAGGCTTTACATTGCTTGTGTATATGGTATCCTGTAGATATTGTTTGTCGTAGCAATGCCAACGTTATACATACTTACTCACCTCAATACTATTGCATATTTCTGCATTCCCTTAAATCTTCCTACATACAACAGTATTATTGTCTAGAGTAATCTAGCATTGTTTGCATTTCGTTCTTTTAAATGTTCTATCTAATTACATTTTTATTTTTCTTTCCGTCATCACATCTTGCCTATGAAAACACGCGGCTACGGGTAGACAGAACGTACATAATCCTTTTAGTATCTCAATATCGCAATTCAAAATGCGCAAAGAAAAAACAGACCAGCTCTAAATTCTAGAAGAAAATAGTCCAACATGGTTACGTTTATTACAGACTCCAGTGGCATGGACTTCCGTGCTATGCTTAAGAAGAGAAAGTACGCAAAATGGGGCGAAAAGAAAGAGGACCCCGACTGGGGAGACCTCAAGGAAACTGAGAAGCCTATACCACCACTCAAGAAGGTCGAAAAGGTAATTATCTTTTCCTGATACTTTATTTACCCTGATTAAAGCTGTCAATAGATAGGTGGTGATATAAACATCTTAAAAACCAAATAAATAAAGTAAAACAAAACAATGCAGAAAAATATTACATTACTTTTAATAATCTTTCATTTTTCTGCACTGTTTTATTATATTAAAAGTTAAATTTATAAATAAAACAAGAAGACAGGCAGCTCCATCAGGCAAATGGCTAAAATTGCGTTTCAACTCACCTTGAAAATCTGGTTAATTGATGTTGACCATTTGACTGTCAATAAAATTTTAGGTAATCTTTACTTTTATGACATCGAATGCATCATATATTTGATCTTTAGGGCTTAGAGACTGGATATTTCGAAGAAGATGGCTTCATAGTAGTGGTCTCCGAGGGTGTGGAGATGTTTAGATTCCCCGCTGACAGACGCAGGAGCTCTTCCAATTGGTCCTGGTTTAAGGTCCTCAGTATTCTAGAATGTATTATCATCGTTCATTCCATCTTGCATTTCAATATTTTTGTCTTCAGTGATGGTATTGTTAACAATGTTGCATCTTGCCTGATCTCTTCTGAATTGAACTTGTCTATCCATTACGTTGTCTTGCCCATTAATATAGTCATTTTATCATCATAGATCACAGCATTATAAAACTTGCATTATTCTTAAAACTCTTGAACATTCTCGGCTATTCTCGGGAATTTTATACTTCAGTAAACGAGGTTCATTGGTTTGGGCGGGATTGGAAATCATTTTTTTTTTTACTAAAATTACTTTTGATAAAAAAGCAAACGTCATTTCATGTTTTGTCAACAAAGTCCTAAATGACATTGTTGTTACAAAATAAATAAGCAATATTGGCATTGATATTGGCTTAGTTTTGTGAATTAATAAACGGAAGTACTTCAAGTAAAATAAAAATGTCTTCTTCAAATGGTGGATTCATAAGGAGAATTTGTAATTCATTCAAAATTTTCGGCTTTACTGTAAGTTCCAAATTATTTTGGTACATTTGATAAATAGAAAGTATTCACAGGTATTCACTTGAATCAGTTGAATTGCGGTTCATTTTCATTTATTTCATCAATGAATGATTCTTCTCATCTACTTTAATCAATCGATTCATTGATCATTGTGTCGTCCTGCTCCAGTCAGTAACGCTTTGGTTATTTAGCTAAAGTCATCCAGCTTCTCCTCGGTTGGCTATAATTAACTGTAATAGTAACGTCTCTTGTCGATTCTAGGGTATCTTTGAGATTAAGAGACGTATGTCTCTATCAGAAATAATACCTGATTGGCCCGCTTTGATGGAGGCTGCTAAAATAAAGGTTCGATAAAAAGGAAAGATAAACCGTAAACCGTATAAAACCGAGAGATTTGTATCTTTTAGAAACCTTAACATGTTATCTTCTTAAGTCTTTATTATTTCAGTAAATAGCTCAAGAATATTATCATAACTTGTTTCTAAAGGACGCAAGTGCTCTTCTAAATGAATGAACACTGAATGATAAACTAAAACAAAACTAAACTTATCCTCTGGAATTGTTACCTTCAAAATATTTTCCTGACATAATGTTTGTTAAAATTCTTTAATAATTGGTTATTTTATTATTTACAATAGCGATGATATCAATTTGTATTTTGTACAAAGAGTTTGAAGATCATAATTCCTGAGCGATTTAAATAAAATAATACATTAAAACTGAATTAAAAAATAACTCGCACAATGTTTTTGTATCACCACTTCACTTTTCTTTAACTTGAACATGATTTTCAGGGAATGTAAGTGGAATGAATTTGATGATTATATCACTTTTGGTATTTTGTCCGTTCTTTGTATTTCCAGGTTTTAATTTGACGTCGGATTGAGGAGCTTCTGTCACGTCATTAATATCAGAACTATGTCCTTTCTCCATTTAATTCATTATTAATTTCAGCTGATGCATCCGGTGTTTGCAGATGTTGGAATTTGTTTTTCAATAATCTATGTGTCATAAAAATTGTGAATTTTTAATTGTATTAAAAGCGTTAATTGATAACAGCTTATCTACACAACACAATGTAATTCGCTGTGAATATTTTTATCAAAATTGTTGTGTCTGAGATCTAAATATGAACCCATGCCAAAAAAGATAAGAAGATAAATGTGTAAAGATTTGACTAAGGATGAATGGATATTTTATAGAGATCCCATAATAGAAGACCGTCACTGGCTGAACTGATCCCCGACTGGCCGGTTCTGCACTCGTTCAAAAAAGACGAGGTTTGACATCGAAATAATGTCCACCATAGGACGGCACAGTGCACTCTATATTGTGGTCACCAACTGTAAAATATTTGTCGCACAAAATGTTATGTTCCAGTAGTAACATGAGATGTATCATTGTTAATGATATTATTTAATCCTTTTAAACTTAAGGAGATGAAAATTCAACTATGCCCTTGACTGCTGAAGGCCTAGCTGACCTAACGACAAGATTAAAAATGTTTAGTTGCATTTTGTACACATTATCGATATGATACGATGCAACCTCTTGTCGTTAATGTTTGTGGGACTATTTGGTGTCTCTCTTGACAATGATACATCTCATATTCTTTACTGGCATCTTGCGACGCTGTCGATATTACATAGATGGCACCTCTACCACACTCTATCCTCTATTCTATGAAAAGCATTTTTTCTGTGCACTCTTTCGTCAATATCTATAGTAGCACAACGCACCACGATGTCAAATAGTTGCACAAGAACATCGANACCATCAATGTTACAGGGTATTTCACTTCCAAAAAACTGTGATCGGCACTGGAAATATGACGGTTCACTTTGCACAATTCTTCGAAAACACGAAAATTCCAATTTCTGTACAAAAGCATGGAGTTTGGTTGTGGTTGCGAGTGACGATGATGAAAGAATGGCTGATGAACCTAACGCCTCGGCTGACGAATGTAACGGTTACACAGATGGTTTTCAACTTGCATCTCTTAACATGCCGAATGACGTTGACAGCGAGGGATGAATCCGAGGGTGTCTTCTGATCAGCACCTGAACAGCTTTTTGTACCGAGCACTTTTTTGTGACTGCACCGTTGTACTTTTACCTCAATAGGTATATTAATGGGCACTGAAATTGCTTTCAGAAACAAGAGTCGTTCTTGAAGCCCCTCGTAGATCAATTTGCAAAGGAAGGCAAGGATAAGAAGGTGGTATTCGAGGCCATCTTCACGAAGCCCAATTCGAAACCGAAATGGTTTTTGCGAAAGGACGTAAGTATTCTTATCCAAAAGATATATTTAGATAAGTAGGTATTGATATGACTTGCATAACTGAAGTTACATTTGCACCATTCCAGGAGCTGTTCCCAGGCTCGAAATACAAGATGACAAACGAACAAGACTCGTACAAGCTGATCATTATGAACCCGAAGGTAGAAGACACGGGTAAGATCACAATTGAAATCGGTGGCATCACTTGCACCGCCTTCTTACAAGTAGACGAGCCTGACCCGACGTACAGCTTCACGAAGAACCTGAAGAAGACCACAAGTGGATACTTCGAGCATGAGGTCGTGCTCGAGTGCGCTATTTCAAACAGTTTGGCTATCGTCTCTTGGTGGAAGGGAGAAACCAAGATCGAAGACGGAGAAGAATTCCAAATCTCGAAGGATCTGTCTGGTGTATGCAGGCTGGTGATCAAGAACGCTAAGTTTGAAGATGCCGGAAAATACACGTGTAAAATTGAGAAGCAAACTGACAAGACTGAAACTGATGTCAAGATTGTTGGTAAGTATTAAAATCAATTACCTACTTGCAGACATTTATTTTTTAGGAATATTAATATGTCCTGATACTCAAATCATAAACTTTTTTCAGAATACCCATACAAATTCACCAAGGTTCTCAAATCGCAACAAGCAATTGAGAAAGACACCATCACGTTACTTTGTGAATTGGACGATGCTGGTGGCACTGTGAAGTGGTAAGTAGATTAAAAATTCAAACTTCAAATCATAAATGTGTAAGACCTAGGACTTGAACATACTGAACAATTCTTAACAGGTTCAAGAACAATGAGCCATTAAAGACAGACAAACGAGTCACGATTGTGAAGGAGGGTCGTAAACGCAAGGTCGTCATCAAGGATGCCAAGGTCACTGACGCTGGCAACTACAAATGTACGACCAACGCCGATGAGACAACGTGCGAGTTGATCGTCAATTGTAAGTAGAAACACATGAAATATATTAAGAGTGAGAGGTTTAGATTTTGAAGTGAGTAGAAGATTAATTTGCATCTTTTTCTAGACTCGAATCGCTTCAACAAGAAGTTGAAGGACACCGAAGCAATTGAGAGGGACAAGGTTGTCCTGGAAGTGGAACTTCAGGATCAGACAGCTGAGGCTGTTTGGTCTTTCAATGGAACACCAATTGTTCCCAACGAAAGGTAGTTTAATCATTTTCTTCTATCTAGTTTTTAAATAATGTTTGTTACTTTGTTCACTATTTTCATTGTTTATTTTTAATTTATCAAATAGGGTTGAAATCAAAAACCTGGGCGGTGGTAAACACCAGCTTATCTTCAACAAACTGGAGATGGAAGACGATGGTGAGATTCTCTGCGAATCAGGCAAGCTGAGCTCGTCTTGTAAGCTCACGGTGAAGAAGGGAGAGTCGAAACCATCCATTGAGTGTCCCGACGATTTCTACGGACCAGCTGGACAGCCGTTCGTCATTGAGGTGCCTTATAAAAGTAAGTGCACCCATATTAGTCAACTCAAAGCAATAAGGACTTTAGTTATTTAATTTTTAGCGTTAAGAGTCGCATCTCCTTAGGCAGTTCGATTTTTTCAAGTTATTTATAATTTTCAAATAAGGACTTTGTTTCAAGATGTAAGTAAACGCTCTAGTGGCCTTCGTTATTTAAAATAACTTTCTTTGTACAGTTGATGGCACCCGACAAACGCCTATCGAAGCTAAATTATGGAAAGATGGCAAAGCCTTGCCTATCAAGGAAGTCGAGGCAGTGGTTGAGCAAGAGAAAGTACTGTTCAAGATCAAGAAGCCGACAAGAGAGGCTTCGGGCAAGTATACGATTAAGCTGTCCAACGCCCAGGGCGAAGACTCCAAAGATGTCACCATCACAATGCAAGGAGTACCAACACCTCCCCAGAATGTGGAGGTATCGGAAGTTTTCCAGACATCATGCGTTGTCTCGTGGAAGACGCCTCAAGACGATGGTGGTTCCCCTATTGTGAAATACATCATCGAAAGACAGGTAAATAATGTTACAAAAGAAAAAATCGTACTTGAAAATTTTGCCAGGGTTACCAATCCCACCAGGCTGTTGTTATAAAATTTTGCTAAGTTCAATTATATAATTATTAACATGGTGTTTTAGGACCTGTCCCTCAAAGCCGGTTGGGACAACGTGGCTGAGGTGCCACTTGGCCAACCAATGAAATACAAGGTTGAAGATCTCATCGCAAAGAAGACGTACAAGTTCAGGATTCGTGCCGTCAACAAGATCGGTTCCAGCGAACCTGGAATTTTCGGCAAACCTGTGCTTGCTAAAGATCCATGGGGTAAGAATTGAATCAACCATCACAAACTAAAGTCAAAGTCAAAGCTTTTATTTAGTTTTATTTAATATTTAGTACTTAGGCCCTTTCCAGGGCGCTTATAAGTCCCAAAATATAGCTTGCCGTTGCCCTACCACCACTTCAGGACAATAATATGGGCTGATGCCGAGAAGAAGTGGGGGAAGAAACTGAGTCACCCTGTCAGCCTAAGCTTATTGGGTCAGTAAAAGAATAACCAATTCGTTTCTTTTCAGACGAGCCATCTAAACCGAAGAATGTAGAGCTCGTCGACTGGGACAAAGATCACGCTGATCTCAAATGGCAGAAGCCAGACAATGATGGTGGTGCTGAAATCACCGGATACGTTATTGAGTACAAGGTAAATAATTAGTTCCTCACACAGAATTGAACATAAAGCTATACTTAGTACTGCGCTTGAAGAGTTTATCTGACTCGAAACTTGACTCAAACTCCGTCATTTAACCTCATAACCTCAATTTATGCTTGAAATTGAATTGAGCTTTAGGCTTCGTTCGATAATACAAATCTTACTTAGTCATTTATCATCATCAACATCTTACTCAGCCAGCAGTCTACCCACTATCAATACTCATAGCGTTCTTGTACTTTTCCCTGACTTTACTTTTACTTTTCTCAGCTCTTGTGGTCTAACTATTGAAGTACCTACTTTGTAGGTTTCCGTTTTATACTATTCTCTATTCTAACCATTAATTATGTTGCTTCTCCAGGAAAAGTTCGGCAAAGACTGGGTAAAGGGTAAAGAAGTGCCCGGCGATTGCCTGGCTGCAACCCAGGATGGCCTCAAGGAAGGATGCACTTACGAGTTCAGGGTCCGCGCCATCAACAAGGCTGGACCTGGTGAACCAAGTGACAGCACGAAGCCGATTGTGGCTAAGTGTAGATTTGGTGAGTAGAAATGGATAGGAACTCCATCTCTAAAATCTTTTTTACTCCTTAAAGAATAAAAAGGTAAAATTGGAATCTCAGCACAATACCAGTCGACACCCATCGTCCCTAGTCAATAGAAATACTTTTTAAGAGCTGACAAAAGGCGACTCCTCTTAGATTTTTTATGGCAAAGGGGTCTAAGACGTCATCAGGTCTCTAACTCGAAATTTTAGTCAACTGAAAAATGGTTATTGGTACTATAGTCTGGTCTGTGAGCACGTAGAATTTTGTCTGTTAAGGATGGGTAGCTTGGGGTCATTGGACAAAATTCTACGTGCTCACAGATCGGGCTTTAGCTGTTCTAAGATTAAATAAAGTTTCTAGCTTCTGAAAAATATTTATTGTTAAATCAATGGGTTTTTATTGTAGCGTTGTTGAAGAGCAAGGCAGGAAATCAAACAACTGAAATTAACTGTAATTTTATTCACAGTCAAACCATACATCATCGGAGACGGTCTCCAAGGAATGATCATCAAGAAGGGACAAGTGATCACCTACGACATCAAGTACGGTGGTGAACCTGAACCGGAAGTCAAATGGTTCAAGGGTGAAGAGGTAAATACTTTTTTCTTTAGATTCCTTTTTCTAAAAATTTTTTCCAGCAGATTGATCTTGAAATTACTTGCACGAAGTTTCTTATCGTGGAATCTTGTGAGAATACTCTGATATTTGTAGCAAATCTACCGTCAAGTTTTAATTGGATTATTATAATAACGTATATTTTACTTTTTTCCAAAAAAGAAACGCGGAAAGCCGTACACGGAGAAGGTCAGGGTGAAACTGAATGTTGTCGTTTATAAATGTTCTAAAATCTACTGAAACTGTCTTATCTATATCTACATAAATGTGGCTAACAAAACTACACTTTATACAAAAATACGCACACTATGAAATGAATTTTAAGTTAGATTTGCAATGACGAAATTTTCTGAAAAAAAATTGAAATCTTTTTCATCTCCAAAATGCTGATGTTAATGCACAGTAAAGTTAACATAAAGTTCATTTCTACATACTCAAAAGTACCTACATACTACAACCTATGTATTTAAGAAAATCGCAATGTGTGCGATGCATCTTCGTCAAGACTCGATATATCGCTTTCAATGTTTTAACAACTTTACATCATATTAAGGAAGTTACTTGTAAATTAATATAGAATGCACCAAAATGCACATTAAAAGTAGATTTCAATTCTTGATTCTTCACGGTAACCATCGAATGGTCATGTCCCATACCTTGACCATTATTAAGTATTCTTTATTGATTGATATTGATTCATTAAAACAATGTGATAACACTTTCATATCGGCATTTGAATGCCAACTAAAACAACACATAACACTTAACATAATACTATCACACTTAACAATAACTGTCTAATAAAACTTTATGTTTACGTATTTTGGATTGAATCTGATCGCAACATTGAATTTGAACTGCATTACACATTCGTACATAATTGCACTTTGATTCACTTGATATACATAATAGCACAATCGATCATTGTAACGATCACACCCTTGGATGTACCGAGGGGAAATGGGATATATATGTTCGTAACAAATCTTCCTTTCCCTATTGTGACTCTAAGGGAAGATAGAAAGAACAAGTTGCATTTTGTCTCGAAAAATTATTTTTAATCATGATCAACCAATACCATGATAACACCAGCAAAGATCATCTAATAAAACGACGATCAAGTAATCAATAAAACGTACATGCTATGGTATCATTTTCTTCTTCGATTGCATCAAAATATGAAAGTAAAAGATCACACAGTTGAATCTTAACTAAAATAAAAAGCATATTACAGTCAGTCATAAATTATCCGACTCTGTCACGTAACACATCAGTAATTTTAATCACATTTCAACATCAAAAGATCAGATTCGATCCCCCAAGGCTCCTCGTAACACAACCATCCGTGTGCAGGAGATCAAGGATGATGGTGACCGCATCACCATTGACAAGTATGAGAAGAACACAGTCCTGACTGTTAGGAAGACCACCAGGCCAGACAGCGGGAAGTACAAGTTGGTGCTCACCAACTCGTCGGGAACTTGCGAGAGTATAGCCGACGTTGTTGTGTTGGGTAAGTGTGTTTTATAAATGTTTTAGCAGACGCGTATTAATTAAAGGTGTCCTTAGCGCATAACTGAGTCCGGGACAGCACAAGAGGGGTGATAAGATGTGACAGGGCATACAAGTCTGAAGCACGTTTGAAGTCTCGCTGACGTTTGACACCACAATAACCCCCTCTCCCGTGCCGCTCCCATACCTCTGGCATTGACTTAGTCACGGTAATACTATCTATACAGTATTCCAACTCGGCCATATTTTTTAAATAAATGTCAACAGCCGCGCAGTACGTCACCATTATGACAACATGCGATAGGGCTGCCCACCTGCAGACCCTATTTTCATTACATCTGCCTACTTAGAATGTTTATCTAGTTTTGTGAATGTATTTTGTGATTGTAATTTTTTATTTTATTTTGACAAACAAAATAACTTACTGAATGAAATAGGATAAAATGCATGTTGTTTTGTGAATAGTAGATTTAATTAAAAATTATATTTGTGTTAAGATTTAGTAATAAATCTTATAAATTTGCGACCGTAAAATGTATGCGCCTCGACTGAGGCGTAAAAAATTCTTGATTATTATACAGGGTGTTAGGTAAATGGGTTTATAAGCCGACACTAGCCCATGTTAACATGTGCATATAAATGGTATACTTAGTGAAGTCAGAAAATTGAAATCATCATTTTAATAATTTTAATTTGCATACAAATCTGATTTTATAAATTTTATTTCGTATGAAAATTAAACAAATTAAAATGATATCACTGACTTCACCATACCATTTATATGCATAATATGTTAACATGGGCTAGTGTTAGCTTATAAACCTATTTACCTAACACCCTGTATAAATAGTTAGTTGTAATTATTTTTTTTAAAAAGAGCGCTTACTGTTTCAAAAACAACACATCATGCGTTTATTACCGTGGCACATTCGCGACACCCCCGACTTTTGCATGTCGAGCGCATACCGAGATTTGAATTTCGAAGGAAAGTTCGCGTTTCGTCCGTTTATATGAAGTTACAATACTGTATGATAGTATTACCGTGACTTAGTTTTGCGCTAAACCTATAGATATTACCATTTGAGGCCTATAGGAAAAGACACCAAAGTTACCTTTCAGTATTTTTTCATAAAATATTAAGCCCACTATTTTGCGATATTGAGACCAAAGACGTGCACCGCCAAGAAACTTGAACTAAGTTTAGAGTGTTGTGTTACAAAATATGGGACTGAAAATGAGTCTTTACGTCTTTGCAAAACATTATCTTAGTTCCATTTAGGCAACACGAGAGATCTTGTGTATCTGCAAGGCCTGCCTTAATTTTATAGATCTTTGATTCAATTGACTACTTTTTATCCGACTTCAAAAATGAGGAGGTTCTCAATTTGGTTGTTTTTTTACTTACATCAACTACTTTTTCGCAATGACATCAATGGTACATAAAGAGGTAGGTACTTGAAATCTAACATTTTCTGCTATTTGTGCAGACAAACCCAACCGCCCCAACGGCCCCATCGAGGTTGTGGACATCCGCGCCGAGAAGGCGACTGTCAAATGGCAGAAGCCCGACGACTGGCAGGGATCCGACATCACTGGATACACACTCGAGAAGATGGACATGGTGAGTCATCCAGCATATAATTTAATACTCAAAGGAGAAGCTCTTGGCCTGCATCTCAAAGAAAGTGATGATCAGGCCGGAGGTGGAAGCAAGCTTCAACTACAGGAACTGGTTATCCTTAACTGCAGCAGCCGAAACACGACAATGCTGTTAACACTGTAGTTTGTGACAGACTTAAGTAAGATGGTGGTACAGTCCTCTCAACTTAAGCTGAGAATTGCATTTGTGTGAGTGCACACCGATAGTTTAGAGTGGCAATCGGCTTGAAGCGCGGCGCGTCCCGCGCATGGTTTATTATAGCAAGCGGCCTGAAGCGCGGCGCGTCCGCCACGCACCGCTTCCTTGTCGCTCACATACTTCACTTCACCCCCGGTACTGGTAGCAGATACGTGTAATTTTATGTAATTGTGTTCCAAATATTAGTGAAATGGCTCCTACTGTAAGTGAATTTCCTGTACGAAATCCATTAAGCAGCCAAGTGAAAGAAATTTTATGCAAATTGAATACGTATTATAAAGGTGTGAATGAAAAGTTTTTAGTCTGTTTTTATTTTGTAATTTTATAAAGTTTGTCTTTTTGTTGTATTTTGTAAGGCTGGCTGGACGCCCTCTCTATAAACGGTGCTCACAGAATATCAGCGTCGAGGTACTTCGTGCCTTGGCATATGCTGAGCGAGGACCTGTTTTTATTTGTTTATTTATTTAAAAGGATGTGTCAAGTGTCGTTACATCGGCCCAATTGGTAGCAAGTGTTTTATAGACTTCCTTTTAATAAAACATTAATTTTATTTGTATGTGTTTTACTAACGGTACTTTTGGCGATCACGCACACAAATGCAATTCTCAGCTTAAGTTGGTAGGACTGTAGCGAGCTAGCCTTTTTTTCGTCATAAAATGTATGAAATTGCATAACCTTATTTATGAAGCTCTCCTTGCCAGATGGGCAGGGCTTACTCACTCACTAAAACCTCAAAGTCTTTAGGACGGAACTGCGAGTTATTGTCCGAGCTAGACGGCCTAAACGGTAGCGAACTAGCCTAGATGGACTTAGAACAAGTCCCACCACCAACCAAACTGAGTAGAAAGTCTTTCCCCCACTAGGAATTGAACATGAGACCTCTTGGTCTGAAATAGGTTTCCCAAGTTTACCCAATATTTACCTACTTACTTCTTTTTTATAGGACACCGGCAACTGGGTGCCATGTGGTGAGACTGGAGCTGAGCCAACAGAGTTCACGGTCAAGGGTCTCACTCCGAACCACAAGTACAAGTTCAGAGTACGGGCCGTCAACAAGGAGGGCGAGTCTGAGCCTCTGGAGACAGATGGATTCATTGTTGCCAAGAATCCTTACGGTAAGTTGAAATATTTAATTTATGTTATTTTTAACTGCTGCTGAGTAGAACTAAAAACTTTACAAAACCATTAGCAAGTACTGGAACAAAACGCTATATGACAAGACAGTTGACAGCTGTTGATTGACAGTGACAGTAAAATTGGCGGGCGGTGGTGGTTGAGCTGTCAAACTTTTTCACTAAACTTTTGAATTTTGTTTACAAACAAAAAAAGTTTCTTCAGTATCAGAAAAACACATTTTCACCATGATAATCCCTGTATTTTCCTTCCAGACCCACCGAAGGCGCCAAGCAAGCCCAATATTGTGGACTACGACAACATGTCCGTCACACTGCAATGGGAACCGCCAGTAGACGATGGTGGAAGACCAATTTTGGGCTATGTTGTTGAAATGAAAGACAAATTCTCACCAGACTGGATCGAGGTACGTCTAAACAACAATCTAGTACACTTTGGCTTAGCTTGAAAACAGTTTTGGTAGGTTTTTCATGAAATTCAGATTATCAGCGATCATACTTATTTGATGAATAACTTTTACTTAGATAATAATGATAAAAACTATACAGCTACTCCTAGATACACAATTTAAGTAGTAGTACTTTAATACTTTCTTTCATCTCAGTTTAAAATAGGTTTTTTTACCTACTTCTATTTGATACTAATGATCAAAAACTAACGAAAGAAATATTTATTTATTTTATTTACCTACTAAAAGGCACACATAATTAATATTTGATGATTTATTTAAAATTACTGCATCAGAAACTATACCATACTTAGACCAATTTACCAATTAAAATATTTTTTTTAAATCCTATAGCTATTGTCAGCTTTCTCATTTATTAATTTCTTTTTCATCCCATCTAGGTTACCAAGACCAACGACACAAAGACGGAGTACAAGGTGGAAGGCCTCAAAGAGAAGATGGTTTACCAGTTCAGAGTGAAGGCGCACAACAAGGCCGGAGTGGGTGAGGCTTCGCAGCCCACCGACAACCACCTGTGCAAGCACAAGAACTGTGAGTATTGTTATTGACTAATAATTTCTGCTAAGGTAGCAAGAAGGCGCTGGACGCAGGCCGCTACCAACCGGGCAACATGGAAACCATTGGGGAAGGCCTATGTTCAGCTTTGGACATCCTATGGCTGAGATGAGATGATGATGGACAATTTTTGCTTGGCTTCAATTGCTTCAATTCTTTTATTTGTATTATTAACTAAATCCAATCAGTAAAATTCTCATTGCTAAACCATACTAGGATACTGATGGAAAATCTTATTTGAAAAAAAGGAAAGAGGTTGAATGTATTTTTTGCAGTACTCATTTATTCTTAGCACTCCACTATTGTCCTGAATAATAGTAGGGTTCATGTAGAAAAAGCTATGTTGATATGTATGAGCTTTTAGAACTGACATTTGAAGAACTTAAAATACTAGCACATCAAGTAGCAGTAAAATAAGACAATAGAAATCTATTGTTAGATTGTTCTCATTGGAGTACTGGGAGTCTTCAACTTTTAGCTTGGTCCATGGGCCAAGCCACTGAATTTATTTTTAAATATTTAAATAATATGCAAAAGGAAAAAATGTTTAAAAATTCAATCCAGCGAGCTCATGAATTCAAGCTAAAAGTGGGCCAAGCCACTGAAGAGTCCTAGGCCTAGGATATAGGCTAAACTATACTATGAAAGGTTCATTATTAAGAAACTGATTTAATAATGTCTTCTCTAATGCAGTGAAGCCACGCATCGAGCGCAGCACATTCAAGTCGGTGATCATCAAGGCAGGCCGCACTCACAAGTGGTCGGTGGATGTCATCGGTGAACCCCCACCAGAGATGTCATGGTAAGTGCAGCATTTTACCTGTCAGGGCCGGACCGTGAGTTTAGGGGGCCCTGGGCTAATACTACTTAGGATTGGCCCCTACTATACTCTTTCGAATTATCATCTATTTTTGCCTTTGACTTAGCCCAAAATCCATAATGGTAGATTCGACCCTGCCTCCTCTTGATTACGTATTTAAACCTAAATGACCTACTGAATAGTGAGGTTAAGGTAAAAGTTGACAATATTATGTATCTTATTTAAAATTTTCTGCATACTTATGACACTATGTTTACAAAAATTCTTTAAACAATATTCGTGCTAGAATCAAATTAAATTACATGCTTATTTCTGGGACTTTAATATAATTGTATTGTTCTTGGTTTGAATAGGAAAGTAAATTACTTTGGGTTTTTTTATATCCCAAGCTTAGATAATAAAGCATCCCAAGGTAAAGCATACTAAACGTTATTATTAGATTGCTTTATAATATGCCAAACCAATCAAATTAATGTCCCATAATAACAATATGCAATAAATGTGTCACTTATTAAAAGAATTCTGTATGAGTAATTTAATTTTAACTCACTTATCTTGAAAAATCGCAAAAAAACATATCACACTGTAGGAATTTTACTAAATACCTACCTACCACTTAAAAACTTTCAGAAGGGTCATACTTGCACAATGATATTAGTAAAGCACAATTTTTTTAAATATAAATTAAATCAATGTACAAAATTTTTGTATCTATTTGTGTAAATTCAGTACATTGAAGATGATCATGGTTGTCTCAAGCTAAAAGCACACTGAAGTTTGTATCAAAAAGCCTGTCAAATATCGCCACAAAGCTCAACTAGATGTCGCTCCGCGCTGAGCGCCGTTTTCTTAGCCCGCGGTGTCCAGATTTTTTTTCCCGTAAAGACCCTCGGCGCCCGACGCTGTGAAAGCATACTTACCTGGCGTAGGGGACACCGTGATCACGAAGGCGGTTCCCCCGGGGCGAGGCCGGTCCATTGCACTGCGGACGGGTTGACCCCTGCGATTATCCCTAATGTGGATAACTCGGACGCGTTATTTTTGGTAGTGGGGACTGCGTACGCGCCGTCCCCCCCTTAAACCCTTAAATCGATTATCCAAGCTAAGTCATTCTGTAACACAAGTGCTGGGTCATCCTCTATCACAGATAGATAATAAAAAGATAAAAATACTTAGCTTATGAAAGCTTAGTCTTACAAGAAATAGTCTCTATTTTCACTCTCTAGTTCGAACTAGTTTTTGCCCGCGGCTTCACCCGCGTGAAATTTAGTTTGTCACAGATGGTCATAATAATTATAGCCATAATGTTATACTGGGTTATAAACAATAATACTGTAATTTTAATCAAAATTTGTTCAGCAGTTTTTGCGTGAAAAAGAAACAAACATTCCATCCATAATAACTTTCGAATGTATAATATTAGTAGGATTCTCCTATAATAACGCTGCGAATTTGCTGCTACTATCACGTGGTATTTTTTTTTAATATTGCATTAAAAAGAAATACCTGTTTAAATTTAGTTGAAATGGAACGCGAAAGTTTAATATCTTAAATATGGTATTGATTAGAAAAACGTGGTATTTTTGAAATGGTTTTATTTAGCTTACTCTGTTTATTTCGTTTGGAAATGTATAACTTATTTTGAAGTAACAGCATCGCTACTTGTTTGGATTTCCGTGATTTCTCCTACTATACNTCAGCCGCCCCTCGTACATACATAATAATTTATGTATATGTGGCCAAAAACACATCTGACATAAGTATTTTTGTTCATAATTAGGAGCCGCCATCCCTCATAAACATAAATAATATCCTCACAAATCTCACAATATGTACCTCAGTCACACATGCATGTTTCTTATAACAATTTCATTGTTTATCGATTCCTAACATGTTGTGGTTTCCCTAAATACTTAAATTAAATGCCATCTAATAACTATGGATGTTTCTACAATCTCCCTTACATTATGTCTGCTGTTTTACGGAATGTAAACAACTGTTCTTAATAGAATAGTGTCTGAGTCCTGCACCCCTCGTTAGATGTCGCTGCATTTTTCCAGAGCACACAACCCCTACAAAACGAGAACCGTACCAAACATTTGCAGCACTGAAGGCAACTAGATGTCGCTCCGCGCTGAGCGCCGTTTTCTTAGCCCGCGGTGTCCAGATTTTTTTTCCCGTAAAGACCCTCGGCGCCCGACGCTGTGAAAGCATACTTACCTGGCGTAGGGGACACCGTGATCACGAAGGCGGTTCCCCCAGGGCGAGGCCGGTCCATTGCACTGCGGACGGGTTGACCCCTGCGATTATCCCTAATGCGGATAACTCGGACGCGTAATTTTTGGTAGTGGGGACTGCGTACGCGCTGTCCCCCCCCTAAACCCTTAAATCAATTATCCAAGCTTAGTCATTCTGTAACACAAGCGCTGGGTCAACCTCTAGCACAGCTAATATCTATTAAAAAAATGAAATTACTTAGCTTATGAAAGCATTATCTTACAAGAAATGGTCTCTATTTTTACTCTTTAGTTCGAATTATCCTATAATAACGCTGCGAATTTGCTGTTACACTAGTATTCTATACATATACAGTGTGAGTCACGTTAAAGTGTACATATGAAAATATGTGAAACTAGACCTATTTTTATCGACAAAAAAGAGTTCAAAAAAATTTTGAGATTTTTTAAAAAAAATTTATAGAATTTTATTTCTTCCAATTACTTCTCGTAAAGAAAACGTTATAACTTTTAAACTAAGAGGTATATCCTGATAAAATAAAAACAGTAATAATGCTAAATAACAGGCGATACTAAAAACATACATAAAATACCCAGAAAATGCCAACAAATAATAACAAATGATAGTTTTTGAAACAAATCTGCTTAAAAATTCGTATTTTTTTGGTTATTTGATAAATTTCTCAAAAAATGCCCCTATAATAGGTGGTTTTTATTACTTTGTATTATTCTCTATCGTATTATCTTTGTAAAACCAAAAATCACATGTCTCTATCCCTATCACAACATTTGCTATGATCGTTTGAACTAAGCCTCTCCGGGCGCGCCATTCAACGCTTCGTTAACAACGAAACTGAAAATTGCTCTAGATTTGTAATTTTGATAAAGACAAGTTAGATTTCAAATAAAAACCAAAGATTTCGAAGTAAAATAAGCATTTTAGTTAAAATTAAAATTGTCTCTACCTGTAGCGGAGAATAATGTTGTGGCAGGCCTTTGTTCAAACGATCATAGCAAATGTTGTGATAGGGATAAAGACATGCGATTTTTGGTTTTACGAAGGTAATACGATAGAGAATAATACAAAGTAATAAAAACCACCGGTTATAGGGGCATTTTTTGAAGAAATTTATCAAATAACCAAAAAAAACACGAATTTAAAAGCAGATTTTTTTCAAAAAGTATCATGTTTTATTATTTGTTGGCCTTTTTTGTGTATTTTGTGTATTTTTTTAGTATCGCCTGTTATTTAGCATTATTACTGTTTTTATTTTATCCGGATATACACCTTGGTTTAAAAGTTATTACGTTTTCTTTACAATAAGTAATTGAAAGAAAAAAATTCTATAAAATTTTTTAAAAAAATCTCAAAAATTTTTTGACCTCTTTTTTGTCGATAAAAATAGGTCTAGTTTCATCTATTTTCATATGTACACTTTAACGTGACTCACACTGTAGGAGAGGTCGAATGTCTGTACATAGAAAAAAAATTAGCCAAGTGTAGGGTTCCGTTAGTTGTCCGTCGTTACCAGAATATATTTCAGAAGCAAGCAATTACTTAAATCTAAAGTCACTTTTCATATTATTTTCTTTTAAGGAATTTTTACTGGTTAAGAAATTGTATAATACATGAGTGAAATGACTATTACTCTTAAACTAACTAATGTATCTTAACCGTAAGTTCATGAAAAGCAGTATTATTACAATTTTTTTTAGATTTTTCAAGCCAACATTTTGGTTTTTAGAGGGGGGGGGGGGACGCCCTACTCGAACAAAAATTGGCACTTTAAACTTTAACATTTTGCAAACGGAACCCTAAATCGAAAAATGGTCTTAGAAACCCCTAAGCAATTCTAAAAGACGTATCCAACGATACCCCACACGATGGGGTAGAAGAAGAAAAAAATTCATCCCCACTTTACATGCAGGGGAGTTACACTAAAAAATTTTTTTTACAAAATTTTATTCTACCGTTTTGTCGGCGTGATTAATATACATATTTCCACAAAATTACAGCTCTCTAGTGCTAATAGTTTCCAAGCAAAACCTCGGACAGACAGATAGACAGACATATCGAAACTATAAGGGTTCCTTGTCAGGACTACCGGAACCCTAAAATGCTTAAAAACATGTCAGGGGGATGTAAAAAAAGGAAAAAATAATATATATTTTTTTAATTTTTTGTTTCTCTGTTTGTCTGCTTATCTGTTTGCACGGGCTAATCTCCGAAATGGCTGGACCGATTTCAATTAAATTTTGCATGTCGATCGATCCCTTTATCCCCGGTCAACATCTTAGATACTTTTTATTTTAACCGACTTTAAAAAAGAGGGGTTATAATTTCAACAAGTGTTGTACCTATATCGTTAGGTTAAACCGATTTCCATGCGGTTTACAGAAAAGTATTTGGTATATTTATCTATAGGTACTAATATTTTGTAGGTAATATTAGCCCTTTTTTTCGTGCAGGTTCTGGGCCAAGCTTCCATACATTTTGGGAGATCATCTTTTTAATTAAATGCCATCTAGTAAACTATGGATGTATCTAAAAACACCCTTACATGTCTGATGTATCACAGAACCTAAACAAGTTTTCTTTAATAGAATAGTGTATGCGTTCTGCACCCCTCGTTAGATGTCGCTTCATTTCCCCAAAGCACGCAACCCCTGCAAAATACCGAACCAAACATTTGCAATCCTGAAGGCAACTAGATGTCGCTCCGCGCTGAGCGCCGTTTTCTTAGC